ATGACGCGAAATCGAACGATTTCGGATAAATACAAGGAGAGGAACAATGTAATGATAAGTTACGTCGTCTTTTTATATTCTTGTTTGATTTAAAAAAAAAAAAAAAGAGAGAGAGAAAAGAAAGAAGGTAACGCGAACGTAACGTGAATCCAAAGTAACGAAAGAAGAATTTGATCCGCACGATGACGTGTTGTTTAAGATTAATTACTTCATACGTTACATGCGCGTTACAATTAATTGATTATTTTTTTTTTATCCGATAAAAGAGGGATGTAACGCTGATGAGTGATTCTATAGCAGCAAAAAGAAAAAAAAAAAAGAAAAAAAAAAGATAATCGATCGATCACTTGCTGGTAAAGATTAATTAGTTTATACATTGTACAATTAATAAAATATATGTTTTTTTTTTTTGATAAGAGAACTTAATGTTGAAAATAATATAAAAAAAATTTGACCAATGATCAACACGCTATATACATTACAATTCATTTATAGATTTAATATTCAATAAAAGAGAAAAATTGTAATGTTAACAGGAGACTTCGAATTAACAAAAAAAGGACTCGATCGACGTCGTGATACTTAAAAATTAATTAATTCATACGTTATATGTTGTCAAATGACAATTAATTCATACGTTTTATGTTCAATGGAATAAGAAGTACGTGACGTCGATAAATAATTCTGAAGTAGTAAAAAAATTATTCAATCGACGATAGTGCTACTTAAGATTAATTCATTTCTACGTTACATACAATTAATATATGTTTTATGCTTGATAAAAAAAAAAAAAAAAGAAAAAAAAAGAAAGAAAGAAAGAAAAAAAAGATTATAACGTTAATTATTGATTCCAAAAGTAAATATGACAAAAAATAAAAAAGAAAGGTCAATCAACGAATAAAGATGAATTAATTTATAGATAACATATAATACAAATGAAGAAACAATAAGAGGAGGATTCGAGATTGAAAGTGGTAGAAAGTCAAATGAAAAATGTCAATCTCCCCTTTGCTTGATCACAGTCGAGTGAGCTCATTCAAAGATTCTTAACTCGTTGTTACCCGGTAAAGGCTTCGTGTTCATTGTCGAGTGAGTTTCTCCTATGTTGAATCTCCATAGAGATCATTAAGCTGGTCGTGTATCTTAATGAAGCGACAAGAAGCTTCGTACGCGTGAGACACCCACGCGGAATCACGACACGTAACGCCTTTATCGTCGAAAAACTCGATTAACGTAGCGCACTTCGCTGGAGCATGCATAGAACACGCAAATACATTATCCTACCGAAGAATAGGGAAAATTTATTTTGATAGCGATATAACAATAAACTTTATAATGTACTCTATATATCTCAGTGAGAAATATATACAAATATATTGTATGTACGTATGTATATATATATATATTGATCTTTTTTCTTGACAAATTGAAATATGGTTTACGGGGTGTATCCATAATCATTTTAAAAAAACCTCTCGACAGGTTAAAGATTGTTGACCTCGTTTCAAGATTTCTCGAATTTTTCCTGATTACCTCTGTAATTTTCTCTCTCTCTCTCTCTCTCTCTCTCTCTCTCTCTCTCTCTTTTTCTTTCTCTTCCTTCTTCGTCTTTGATACAAACGACACTCGTAACATTATTGAGTTTTCTATAGGAACACGATTGCCAAGCACCGAGATTCGTTAGATACGTATATATCTATATCCTCTAATGACACGCTCGAGCATCGTCCACTCTAATTGGTCCTACGCTTGGAAATTGATTATTATGCTTTTTGTTACGAGCCAGCATGATTCCTTTACCAAAGAGAAAGAAAGAAAAAAGAAAGAGAGAAAGAGACAGAAAGAGGGAACAGTGGTCGTTCGTAATCGAAAATTTTCCCTTTTGTATAGCAATAGAATGCCTTTCTTTGATATTACAATGATACCAATGAATGCCAGGTGTTGAACAACCTATAGCCTATTCGTTTTGAAAAAGTTCTCTATGGAAGGAAGGAATCATTGCTAATAATCGATAAATGAGATAATCCATTCCCGTCCAATCAAAAAAATCATTCAAATTATTCTTAAATATTTATATAAATATATAATAAATTTAAATAAAAAAAAAAAATATGACTTTGATTTTGAACGATAATTTATGGGGAACATAATAATAACAATCGTTCAAAGTAATCGATCCTAATATAACATTATATTGGAAAACAGAAGCGATTTTTCCAGCAATAAGAAAATATGGGTATAGTGAACTTTATTAGGTTCAGTAAAGGACTAACGTACGCCTACTATATGAATAATTGCTAGAGAATTGAAGGTATATATGTACATGTCATAAACGTCGATATCTATCGACATGCATTACGTAAGTGACACAGATGGCTTTTGTCCGGCTTGTTATTGTCTCCTATGCAATTGATATAACCTTGTTACTTGCACGTTTTTTCCCCCACGGCAAAAAGAGTTCGCCTTTCTTATTTAGCATAGAATCATTCAAATATCAAAAATATATCAATTATATTATGAATGAATAAAACGAAATTTTTTTCTTTTTTCTTTTTTTTAAATGACGCGATATGAAAGATCAAACAATTCGAAAATTCGTAAGAGAATAAAGGGAAAGAGAGAGAGAGAGAGAGAGAGAGAGAGAGAGAGAGAGAAAGAAAGAAAGAACGAGAGAGAGAGAGAGAATTTCGAGAATCAAGGCGAAACCATATCAAATATTTCGTGCGTCTCTACATAATACGTGTATGCATCTACGTACGTACGTATGTATTTACATACGCCGCGTATTTCTATATACATATTTCCCGTATGCTCATATACGATTCTCTCTATTACGAGCAAATAACAGAATTCCGTGCCGTAAATTACGGATCAAGTATCCGACTATCGTCGGCTTGCTCGATGGAAAAATTCATAATTAAACCGGTAATCGGATCGACGTATGCGCTCTGAATTTGGAGTGGAGACTATTTATATATTTTTCTAATAATCACCATCATCATCATCATCATCATCAGCATCATCATCATCATCATCATCATCATCATCATCATCATCATCATCATCATCATCATCATCATCATTATCATCATTATCATCCATCATCATCATCATCATCATCATCATCATCATTATCATTATCATCGAGATATGATGAGAAATTAAAAATTAGATAAAATAATAAAAGCTTCTGATAGACGATGATTTATTTTACTTTAAATTCTTTGCATGTCGGAATCATAATGTTGATTGGTCGTAGATAACGATCGTTCTAATGATCGAAATTAGAAGAGAACCGAATTAGTCGAGGTAAAGAAATGAACAATAAAAGGAGGAAAAGAAAAAAAAAAGGAAAGAAAGAAAGAAGAAAGGTGCTCAAATATCCTGAGTCTGTAGAATTTCGAATACTTTTACAACGACTACTTTCGAAGATAGGCAGGTAGGTATATCTTAACAACCGACTTCGTGCTTCCTCGAGCGCATCGGGTAATATTCGAAACACCTGCCCCTCGATTATAAATGTAAATTGTTTTAATTAGGTAATTACGTTATATGGATGTGGATGTTAACGATAAAATTGATATATTTTTTTTCTATACTTATCACAAAATCAAATCGATAAATTTATTGTTCTGAAATTAATATGAAAAACGTTAGAAAAATTCTTCAATTCGATTTATGCTCTCTCCCTTCCTCCCTCTCTCTCTTTCTCTCTCTCTCTCTCTCTCTCTCTCTCTCTGTCTTTCTGTCTCTTTCTTTCTATCTCTCGTTATTATACGTACGTAAAAATAAAAAGCACAAACCTTATATCACGTAAGTAGATACAATATATAAAAATACAAACATTTATTAGATTTTACATTTTAAATATTATTCCATGATTTATCCAATTTTGAAATATGTATTTATGCATAATACATGAAAGTGACCAGGTTATCATCATTTTTAATTTGCGATAATGAAATAATAAAATAAATAAATAAATAAATAAATAAATAAATAAATAAATAAATGGAACTATCTTTTTAAATTGAAGCATCTTTCATAATAATTGGTAATTTCAATTAATTGTAAAAAAAAAGGAGAGAAGAAAAAAAAAAGATACAAATGAATATACGAAATCTGATCAATTCTATGGATTTTAATAAATTCCAATAAATTGATTGATCATGTATACACGATCACGTCCTGTATAAATATATGAGAGCAATTTTTCAATGATTTTCGAAAGAAAAATTCAAATTCGATTAATTCAAGGATCATCCGTAAGTTCGGATAAGAACCTAAGAGAAAACCGAAAAGGACAAAGCGGGCCAAAGAAGTCGCCCAGTAAGCGTCCCCTTGTGGACGATCTCAGGAGGTCGGAGCGAAGGGGCGCGAAACTTGCAACCCTCTCCCCTCTAAGAAAAAGAGAAAGAGAGAGAAAGAGACATAGAGAGAGAGAGAGAGAGAGAGAGAGAGAGAGAGAGAGAGAGAGAAAGACAGAGAGATAGAGAGAGAGAGAGCAAAAAAGAAAAGAATAGAGAAAGAGAGCAGTCTTGAATGGTCGAAAATTCAAGCGCAAATAAATGAGAAAGAGAGAGAGAGAGAGAGAGAGAGAGAGAAAGAGAAAGAAAGAGAAAGAGAAAAGGAAAGAAGGAAAAGAAAAGGAAATAGAAAAGCTGTACGCACATGGTCTTGAATACTCAAGCGACTATTAATGGTCACGCTTGCGAACGGAAATTCATCGATTTATCGACGCATACACACATACACACCACACATACATACATGCACACATACAAATATATATATATATATATGCATGCATGTATGTATTTATGTATCTATGTATGTATTTATTTATTCTCTCTTCCTCTGTCGATCCTTTTCCTTGTACTAAGAGAAAGAGTGAAATAAAAAGAGAAAGAGATAGAGAGAGAGAGAGAGAGAGAGAGAGAAATAGAGACAGAAAAAAGAGAGTAGATGGGTAGAGTACTCAAGCACAAAGAGGAACTAACCTTCACGCTCTTCGAATCGATCACCGGTGGCCGAGGAAAGCGCGTCGCTGGGAAAACAATCACATAATGCACTGGACACTTTGTGTACACGAAAGCCCACTGCTGGTTCCTTTTCCTTTTTTCCTTTATTCTCTATCTCTCTTTCTTATTATAAAACGTTCTTAACCTTTCCAACGTTCTTTTTCTTCCTCTTCTCGTAAAGAGTAAAAGAAACAACTGATCGTAGTAACGTTTATGTATCTAAATGTATATATATATATATATATATATTAATGCGATTAGTTAATGCCCAACGAAAATTGCCAGGGTTGATTTAACGACGACGACGACGACGATGACGATGACAAGAAGGACAAGTAAGGACGAGAGGAAGATCGGCTCTCTCGTTCTTTCACTTCTATTTCTCGGTCTCACGACCTTTCTTTCCCCCCCTCTTTCTTTCTCTCTTTCTCTCTCTCTCTCTCTCTCACACACACACACACACACTCTCTTTTTCTCCCCTTCCAAATACTAGCAGAAGGAAAACAATAAAACTGCACGAAGTGTCGAGGAGCCTGAATATCTCTTACTCCCTTTTTCTCTCTCTCTCTCTCTCTCTCTCTTAACTGATCTTATCGTCCTTTCTTTCTGTCTTTCTCTTACTCGTTCACGCGCGTCTCGAACGCACCTGTCAAACGCGCAAAGGCGTAGGAACGAGGGATCGTTAGGGTCGGGGAAAAGAAAGGGGGAGGGAAAAAAAAAAAAACGGGGGAGGCGTGTTATTCGTTGGTAGTACACTTTTTCCTCGTCATAATCGGCGTGCTAACCATGAGCCGGCTTTTTTCTTCCCCCGTATTCGTGTATGTTTTCTCTCTCTCTCTCTCTCTCTCTCTCTCTCTCTCTCTCTCTCTCTCTCTCTCTCTCTCTCTCTCTCTCCGTGTGTGTGTGCCTGCGTGTATTACTTTTTTTTTTTTTTTGCTTTTCCTTTTCTACGATCTTTCTTTTAATTTCTCTGTATTAAGGAAAAAGTTAGAGAAAAAAAAAAGAGAGAGAGAGAGAGAGAAAGAAAGAAAAAGAAAAGGAAATGTAAAAATTAATTACTTCGTGGAATTACGATGATGAAAAAAGACAGAATGAATGGATGGATGGATGGATGGATGAATGGATGGATGGATGAAGGGATAACAGAAATGGCAAATTTAGAAAGAAGATGCAGACTAGGACGCGACCGAGCGTCGTCTTCTCTTCTCAAACGCGGACGATAACAATGGCGGCGTCCGATCGGGAGAAACGCCACGAGAAGAACTCGTCGTCGTAACGGATTCCAAGCGCACGAACAACAACATATAAAGCGACCGGCTTCAAAGCGCACCACCAGTTTAAGTATCAAGAGAGAAGATGCCACGGGTATAGTTCGTATATCGCCACGCGCGTACTCGCCTATGACGTATAGTCGTCGTTTACTTGATCTCTTGCGAGTATCACTCTCTCTCTCTCTATCTCTCTCTTTTTCTCTTTCTTTATCTTTATCTTTATCTTTCTCGTTCTCTTGCACTCCTCTGTCCCCACTTTTCTTTCTCGTACCCTCTTACAATATTTTCTCTATGTATGTTTTATTTTCTCTCTCTCTCTCTCTCTCTCTCTCTCTTTCTCTCCCACCACATCAAAAGTAACTACCTATGTATCTCTCTTCGTTCGTCTTTCCACCTTCTCTCTTTTTTTCTCTATATCTCTCGTTCGTTCTTTTTCTCTCTCTCTCTCTCTCTCTCTCTCTATTCGCCCGTACGTAGTGAATCTTTTCCCTCTCTTTCTCTCACTCCCTTTATCTTCTCTCTTTAGGAGCGCTCGCGGTGGCGGCTCTACGAGGACTACGACGACGGACGTTTAGCCAACGACGAAGGGAGGAGGCGAGAGCGTTTCGACGAAGCTTGCCGAGCCGCCACGAGTCATGGCCGCCGCCGCCGACGTTACCATCGCCACCGTCGTCGTTGCCGCCGCCGCCGCCGCCACCGCCGCCGCCGCCGTCGTCGTCGTCGTCGTCGCCGCCGCCACCGAATGGAAAACGACGACTTTGGGAGAGAAGGGAAAAGAGGGGGAAAAGCAACGACGGCGGCAGCAGCAGCATCTACTACTACTACTACCACTACTACTACTACTACTACTACTACTATTTTACTACACTACTACTGCTACTACTACTACTATACTACTACTATACTACTACTATTACTCTTGGGGGCTAGCAAGCAAAGCGATGGTGGGAAAAACGTTGGGTACACGCGGAGAAACCGAATGAGAGTTAGATACCGGCGGGGGTGGAAACGGGTGGGGGAAGTGGAGAGAGGGGAGAGGGGGAAGGGCGTCGCTCGATCGCTCGTGGAAAAGGCCAAGAGACCGTGTTCGGGCGTTTCCGGAAGCCCTCGGCTCCTTCCTTCCCATGCCTTGCTTTATCAAACGAGCCCTGAGGTGGGGGTATACCGGTGAGTTTCAGGGCCACCCGCCGTTACCACGGAAAAACGAAGCCCAAGGTTGAAAACCACTGTCTCTTTCTCTCTTTCTCTTACTCTCTCTCTCTCTCTCTCTCTCTCTCTCTCTCTCTTTTTCTTTCTATATCTTCCTTTTTCTCTCTTTTACGAAGAACTCGTTGCTCGAAGAAAATACCTGCGAGATCGAGCCACGGCCGAGAGTGCATCTAATGCGAAAGAGATGGAATCGGACGGATGTTGCTGGCTCCTGGCTGCTGCCGTTACTGCCACGCTGGTTTCTCTGCCTTTCGTTGGCTAACTAAGGAAACCGGAGAAATTCGTGAGATTCTTGATAGCGGTGCGTAATACGCCGATTTGGTTGGCGCATTCGAACGATGTATACAAGACTCGAATAGTAGTTTTTTTTCTTTTCTTTTCTTTTCTTTTCTTTTCTTTTCTTTTCTTTTCTTTTCCTTTCCTTTTTTTTTTTTTTCGTTTATTTGTGGATTCCCTATTTATTCTTTGAGAATGTATTACCGTTCGAATTTCGAAAATGTTTTCTTACGATTGCGATGAAACGTCGTTTTATTTTTATTTTAGTTTTTTTTTTGTTCTTGGTTTTTTCTTTCTTTTTTCTTTTTTTTTTATTCTTTTCTTCTCTTAGAAAATGTTGCATATATTCTGTATATTTCATTTATTGTATATAAGAATAATTGTTTGGTTTAATTATCAATTTCTAATACATTTGTATATATTTTATATCTGTATATAAGATATATATATATATATATATATATATATATATAATTATCTGTATATAAGAATAATTGTTAGGTTTAATCATTAATTTCTTATACATTTATATATATATATTTTTTTTATATATATTTTTATATATATTTTAAATTATATACGAGGTATATAATTTAATGAAAATAAGATATAATAATTTCGATAATATATCGTGTGGTTTAATCTATCTCGCTTTCGACTCGACCTTTTAATCGATTACGAAAGAAACATTCCCTGTAATTATCGATGCCTCGCATATATCTCCTTCCTTTCGTTTCTACATGGTATTTTGCAGCATTGCAAACTTATGAGTTTTCTATGCTCGATGATAAAAAGCTATTGTCTTTTTGTTTGATTTGCAAATGCAAAAAATCAAGATACTATAAAACAATACAAGAGTCGGAGCGGTAACGACGTCGGATGAGAAACGCGATTGTTTTCAATTTGTTCCGATAAACCCCTATCGGTCGTAGTATCGATAAAATAATATCGATTAACATTGTACCGTTCTTCGTTTTTTCGTTTTCTTTTTTATCGGAAATTGGCGCGGGCTATATAGTTGGTTAAATGAACAGAGGTGTGGCCTCAAACAAGACGTATCCATGTATATATGTATCTGTGCGTGTGTATGTATATATGAGTGCGTGTGTGTGTGTGTGTTTTCAGGGAAGTAACCCGCGCGCGTAACATGTTCGGTACTTTGCAAAACGATCGTAGCGCGATCTATCAGCAAGTGGTATTAGCATCATCGTGAAATTATTCGCTCGATCGGTCTTCCCCAATCGAATTTGTTCCGATTTTTTCTTTTTTTTTTTTTTTTCGAATAGCTTCGTACGAATATAAAAAAAATTTTCAAATAAATTACAATATATTTTTTCAAATCAAATGTTCTAATTGTTCAGGGCGAATGATAACGTTACGACGATTATTTCATATTAAATGTCAATCGTTTTATGCGACTCGTATATTTGGCGTACGATTAAGAAAAAAAAAAAAATAAGAGAAAGAAAAAAAAAAGAAAAAAGAAAAAAAAAAGAAAAAAGAAAAAAGAAAAGAAAAGAAAAGAAAAGAAAAAAGAAGGAAAGAGAAACGTTTCCTTTTAATCCTATTCCAATGAAAACTAATAATAGAAATAACTCTACTGAATTCCCATTGAAAATATTTATTAGCGAGATATAGGAGAAAGAAAACGACATGTGTATATATATATTAGAGAAAGAGAGAGAGAGAGAAAGACAAACCATTGCCGACGACGACATATCGTTCGTCTAGAATTCTACTATGGTTCTACATATTCCACCCCCGTCCTTACCATCTTGTATTTTCTGTACAATTATACGTTGCGACGATGACGTTATTTCAAAAGCGTGGGCAACGACGATCGGAATGGTAACAGACGATAAAATGTCATATTCATTATTCAATAACGTCGAAGGAGACAAAGACAAAATAGAGAGAAGGAGTGATAAAGGACGGTAGAAGACGAGGGAGGAAGTAGAAGGAGAAGAAAAGAGACCAATATTCTAAGCTTTTATCGTTAGTCAGTTATGAGAACGACTAATATTCTACAGTCTAGACGACTAGGCCCAATTCTCGTCGCTTTGCATCCCTCTCCCATTTTATAATTCTCTCTCTCTCTCTCTCTCTCTTTGAACCTGTGTATATTTATTGGAAAACGTATCGAGGCCACGCGAAGCAAAGCTCCTGGAGCGCAGGTCCGTCGTTGGCGGGACACAACCCCCTGAAACATCCCCTTCTTACCTTCGAGACACCGCAACTAGAACCGCTGGCGGTAGCTCGAGGGATCGTAGGTGAGTTTAACAGTGGTTCGACCCACCCGCGACCGTGGATTCCTTCCTTCGCCGAAATTCCATCGTGTTTCTCTCTCTCTCTCTCTCTCTCCCTCTCTCTCTCTCTTTCTCTTTGTCTCTCTGTCTCTCTGTCTTTTTCTCTCTCTCTCTCTCTCTCTCTCTCTCTCTCTCTCTCTCTCTCTCTCATTCCTCATCCCTTCTCCTATATTTCCCTTTCTGTCTCAACTCAACGCACACACGACGAAAGCGAGGATGCTCGTGACTGTTCGCGGCGATGCAACGGCACAGCCTGCGTGTTTCCTAAGCGACGACGACGACTGCAGAGAACGTAGTGACTCCAAGATTTCACCGTGAGATAACTCGTACTACATATATATACATACATATATATATATATATATACATATATACATACATACATATCAGCGCACACGCACACACGCATACATGCAAAGACACAGAAACGGAACGGAGCAACAACAGCAATTACCCCGTTCGTGATCGATAATGAAGCGTACGACGACGTGCATCCTGTCTGAGAGAGTCAGATTTCCCTGCTACAGCATCGATTTCGTACTTCGATTTTCAAGATATCATTCTGTCATCAAGGACTACTCCAGGCCAGAGTGCTGAATCGATCAAACGAAAAAGGAAAAAAAAGAGAGAGAGAGAGAGAGGGGGGGGAGAGAGAGAGAGAGAGAGAGAGAGAAAGAGAGTGTGTGTGAAAAAGCATGCCAGGAGGGCGGAACGATACGGATCACACGTGCGTACGACCTATTTCTTATCTTTTTTACTCTTTCATTATTCTCTTTCTCGCGTTCCACTTTATGAAATCATTATTGTTTACGAACGTTTCGCCGATAGATAATCCTTTTCCGATCGTTCCGAATATGAATGATCTCCGAAGGGTACTATGTTTAATATCCATCCTATTGTATTTGTATACCTAATGATACAATTAATGATAACGTTTAATTATATATATATATATATATCTATCTATCTACCTATATACCTATAGCACCTATAGAAAGTTATTTCAAATCGAAATTTATGCTCGGGAAATTTCATCGTACGCTCTCGATCCGCACGCTAATGTTAAAGCAAACTGAATAAATTTGCATGGCTATGAATATAAAAACGTGTCCTCCTTATTCTATTTCTCTCTTTTTCTTTTTCTTACACAAACACATATATACACACATACACACCGATAGAAATCAATATTTCTGGCCGATATGGAGGCAGGATCGAATTCGATGAGATCTTTTCGATCGGCGCTTTGATTCGAAGAGAAAACTTATTTCGTCTTCGAGAGAACCTGAACATTAACTTCGGAAGGAGTACGCGTTCTTCAGAATGTCCTTCTTCGGTTGGAAAAGAGGCGGTAGTGATACTTCCGATAATACTGGAAGAAATTTACAGGATGGCCTCTTTCAAATAGCCTCGCAAGCTTGTCACATACTCGTACAGGTAAGTTCATCCGATGCACGATCGATCTATCTATATGTATCTCATACGTATGTGCACGTGTAAGTAAACATATTTGATTATGATATCATCTATCTCTTATCGAATTAATATATATATATATATCACTACTAGTGTTAGACAAGATAAGATCATCTCTAAAGATCTTTAAACATTGATTCTTTATGGTCGTGTTTGAATTTCCCGCTCTCTCATTCAGTTCAAAGATGGCTCATTTGTGTCGCCAGTTGTGTGACTCTTAACTCTTTGTTTACCTTTCATTTTTACACGCGGAAATAGTCGTCGGTGTAGTTTATACATTTATTTCTATTCTTTTTTTTTTTTTCTTCTTCTTCTTTTCCACTTGTTTGTGCGCGCTTCATAATATATTTATGTATTCTATCTCATGATAAAAATTATTATCAGAGAGCATACGTGATATTTTCATGAAAATGACGATTATCTTCGTGAGTATTCGATTCGAAGCACAATGCTTACGAACGAGTCAACTTGTCCCTTTTCCAATGCATTAGAGTCAATGAACCACAAAGCTGCATGTACTTTCTTTCTCTTTGTCCCTCTGTCTCTTTCTCTCTCTCTCTTTTTCTGTATTCCTAACGCAATAATCTTAATGCATGAAATAATTGCATGTTCTTTACTAACTAAGTCATATGAAAAAATAATCGGCGCTTATGTATGTGGGTGTATGAACGACAGCTTCATAGAAATGCTGCGATATACGTAACATATAGTATCTTCGCAAGGTCAGCGATACATATATACACGATCGCGGTCATACGTGACTCAAAGTGTAGCTGATAAGATGATTCCAACGCAGGCGTTTACATTGTCTTCCCTCGTGTGTGTATGTGTATTATCTATCGTAATTAACAGAATAAAGATAAAATATTACAAAACGAAGGAAATAATGTTAAATCTATAAATAGTATTTAATCGAAAGGAATTTTCTCTTTCTATGAGATAATTCTCTCTCTCTCTTTTTTTTTTTCCTTCTCTTTTATATATGTCTTTTAGGTAAACAATACACATAACGTTTCTTACGGAGGCGGAAGCAATAATGTAACGAACGTTGCATATTCGAAATATTCGACCGCGGGTGGATCGACCGCACTATCGACATCCACTTCGGTACGAGGAACGTCTTCGGGCAAACCGTATCCGAAATATGCCGAACCACGGACGAAGGACCAAGACGTTGTGGTTCTGTTACCGCATAGGAAGAGCAGAACACCCAGAATCAAGCACAAATTATCGGTATGCCAAAGAAATATTTTTATATTTATTTTTATCTATTTCATAGAAATCATTTTCTAAGAAATCCTCTCGAAACTTTTTTATTTAACGCATCGAACGAATTTGGGAAATAACATTGATTATCCCTTAATACGGACTACGAAAACGTTCGTGTATTCTTGGAAAGAGTATTATTATAGGTTTCTTTATACTATGTCTATAACGGTATATTCATACGATCCAATAATTCGAAATAAATGGAAACAAATCGAACCCCCCAAGAAATCCGGTCGTTATGTAATTTAGTTTGAAAGCCCTTAATCAAGACTTGTTAACTAGAGTCTCATAAAATTGTAACGTGTAACGTGTATTACACGTAACGAAACACGTATTATCTAAATCTCTACAGAGAATTATTCGTTTATTCCTATTCTTTGTCTCTCTCTCTCTCTCTCTCTCTCTCTCTCTCTCTCTCTTTCTCTCTCTCTCTCTCTCTCTGTCTTTTTCTTCACTCACTACTCTCCCTTTCTCTTTCGCTCTCATCCTCCCTTCCTCTCTCTCTCTCTCTCTCTCTCTCTCTTTCTTTTTCGATATTGCCCTAAATATTTCTCGCGTCACGCACCCATCGTTCGACTAATCCTATAAAAATCACCCCCGAGAGAGATTATTGGTAAATTTCAGGCGACGGTCTCGCCCATCGATCCTTTCTTTCTTCGTACCTTCCTTATTTCCTACACCAAAGTTTTCGAGAAAAAGGGCCAGCATTTATCGTGATAGAGATAGAAAAAGAAAGAGAGAGAGAGAGAGAGAGAGAGAGAGAGAGAGAAGATAAGAGGTGTCGAAGTTGCATGCCGTGCGTCGACATCGTTCGCCGGTAAATAATCGATTCGACCTAGGGGCATGTCTTTTCTTTTTTTTTTTCTTAATATAAGCGAGCTCACGCGTACAAACATATTCCCTCTCTCTCTCTTTCTCTCTCTCTCTTTCTATCTCCGAAAAGGTGCATGATCGAAAGCAATGAGAACGGACGAAAGTCCGAAAAACCCCATGAGACCAGGAATAGTGGAGGTGGAGGGAGAGGTAGAAACGTAGAATTACGGGCATCCAAGTGTTATTACATCGAGCTTCATCGACACGAACAGTTCAATGCGTTCTTAGAACAGTATAATCTGATGTATCAAAACCAATTCCCGTGGCACTGACGACGACGACGACGACGACAATGACGACAATGACGACGATGACGAAGACAAAGACAAAGACGACAAGGACGACGATGAGATAGTGTCGGTGAAACACGGTTTAAATTCATTCTAGTTTCGTGATTATAATACCATATCCAATGAGGAATCCGTTATTGTCGTTATTACATATCGTATCTTACTCCTTCGGTACGATTAGTATTCCCTTAATCACGCTTCTCTCCAATCCCTTTCTACCAATTTTCCTAAGATCCTTTGGTACATTGAAGAAAAAATGAAATTTTAAGAGAAAGCCATTGATAAAACGAATGAGTAACGAAATAGGAAAAAAAGAAAGAAGGAAAGAAAGAAAGAAAGAAGGAAAGAAGGAAAGAAAGAAAAGCCAAAAGCAAAACACTTGTTTTTCGTTCCATTGTCGATCAATCCTTTTGATGATGATGTCAGAGATATGAGATAGATGCACTCGAGCACGAGTTAGCGAAATTGGAAAATGATTTATGGAAAGCTAGAAAGTGCTTTTTTGCATTTTCCCCCGTACATCCTATCCGTCGCCTTTATTTTCCTATTTCGTATTCACGTCCATCCAAAAGGGGGACCGGGCGGGCAGACGGGCGGGGGGGGGATTGAGTGTATCTACCTAATGCCGCCGGCATAAAGAAATAAATTGACGTTTATGTACTATCGATATTTATGGTTGAAAGTAATACGTGTTCCGGCCGATAAAATTCTTTCTCGAGAGGCTGCCTCTCTCTCTCTCTCTCTCTCTCTCTCTCTCTCTTTCTCTCATTCTCATTCTCTTTCGAAGAAGAAGAAGAAGAAAAACTTGGCATGATACTCTCGCGACATCGAAAAATTACTGTTCGATTGGTTCGAACTCCAATTTGTAATATTTTTTTTTTTTAGAAACGATACGATAATGTATTTCATTGTAGATACAACGTTCTATGTAAAAGTTGGGAAATGAGAATTTTGCGAACGTACCCATAAATATACATATGTATATATATATATATATATATATATATATATATATCGCGAGATCCGCATTATCGCGTGTTTAAAACGCATCATTCGTGTTCCCCGTAAAAGGTAACCTTGAAGAAAGTGACTGCATCATTTCTCACGGAATAGCGTGGATATTGTCTTCGTGAGCATTAATCATCTGTCCATATCGATTCGAATCGATTCTCGTTGGACGTCTCATGGGACGTACGAACGTACGCTCGATCATTCCAAATCTCTTGAGATTCGATTGGTAATGAAAAAAAAAAAAAAAAACAAAAAGAAAACAAAAAAGAAAAAAAAGAAAAACAAAAAATAAAAAACGAAAAAATAAAACGACAAGAAGAAAAAAGAGAATAAAAAATTAGAGAAAAATTAAAAGAAAAATATATACATATATAAAAAAGAATCGCGTGTTTGTTCATTGTAACTGAAATTGAGAGATAATGAAACGTATAATAATTCCCATTTCTTACATATACACACACACACACATACACATATACGTGTTTACGCGAATTCAAGAATCGAGTTGAGACTATTTTATTACTTCCAGACATTTTTATTACTCACGGACCTTCCGAAACAACTTGAACCCCATCGCACTTGAAACTATCACGTTGTAGGTGTGTACGTACTTACATTCCTCCTTATGCGTATGTAACAGGTACGTTAGAGCTATCAATTTTTCGGCGGTCCGTTCTTCGTAATTTCAAAGTTATACACCAACGTCGTATATTGTGCCGAGCGTTATTACGGTTACGGTATTTTTAACGTCAAGCGAAGAAACAATTTTGAAATTGAGGGCTCGACGAAAATCGATCGATTGATAATTAAACGGTTCGTACAACGTAGAACGAGATGTAATTACTTCGAGCTTGGTAACTATACATGAAATAAAGTCGTAATAGAATTTAAAAATAGAACCCGAATGGAACGTGTTTCTTCGCAGAAAGAAAGAAAAAAAAAAAAAGAAGAAGAAGAAGAAGAAGTATGAGAGGAATCATAGATGCGACCGCATTTCAAATTGATTTAGAACATTAGGATTAGAACAGTTTTTGGTTTAGGACACATTTTCCCTTTCGAAGTCGACCGGGCCAAGGTTTCGTTTCGTGACAAAATGTATTAAAATAGATCGATAAGGTTGCCGAAGCTCCACTGCGATGAAGCAGAAAGCTTCATCAAATATGCATCAGCCTCGAAAACTGACATTTGAACGCGGTGCCAGGTGCCGCGTTGCCACATTTTCCTTTGGACCATGAAAAAATATTGGCGATAATGTCGAAAAACTTTTACTTACTTTCCTTTTTTTTTCTTTTTTTTTTTTTTTTTTTTTTTTAACTCACGACAACAATTTTTCTTATGAATTTCGAAAGAAATTACCTTTGCTATTGACCTACTTTCGAAATCCCTTCTTTGCCCTATTTTATCTTCTTATTCTTCGAAAATCAAAGTATTACTATGATTTATTATACACAAAAATGAATATTAAACAAACGATTTTAAAATTAAATGATTAATTATTATACTTAATGAACAATAAAGAATCAAAATACGATTAATGGATAATAAAAATTATCGATGTATCTTAAACCTTCTTTATTTTATTTACAAATTTAATATAAATAAATGAAAAACACGTACAACTTTATTAAATCCAATTGATATAATAAATAATAATAAAAAATTATTCGAAAATATTACTTTATCAAATTTATTATTTAACATTGGTATAGATTATAAATATTATTATAATCTATATTATTATTATTATTATAAAAAAAAAAGAAAAAAAAACAAACAAAAAAATAAAACATTGTATTAATCATGATTATTTTATTAATTCGATAATTTTGGAATAATCGCAAAAACAATAACGAGTTAGTGACCTACTTTGTATCGGAATCAGCGAACCTGCTAACCAATGTATTGTTCCATTGAGCTAGAAGACAAAAATTTCATGTCACCCATTGGCGACGACCGTGGATGATGACGAAATTGGAACATCGTTTTTATCTTTTTCAATACGACCGTCTGAGGAAAGAAAGAATGAGATAGATGGAGAGAAAAGAGAGAGAGAGAGAGAGAGAGAGAGAGAGAGAGAGAGAGAGAGAGAGAGAGAGAGAAAGAGAATGTAGACATTTTCTTTTACCACGAGGCTCCATTCACACATCACTCATCCTTTCGTTCGTTTATCTGCCTCAGACAGACTTCCTAGTCGGTCGTTCTATCGACTCTTCTCCTTTTTGCAGTCATTTTTACTAAACTGCCTTACGCAATACGTTCGCGCAAAACGATAAGCACATTGTCGTTCGCACATTGTACAGTGGAAAATCGAGCTCACGAACCGAGACCTTTTCTGGCTATTGTAAAAAAAAAAAGGAAAAAAAAGGAAAAAAAAATAAAAGAAAAACAAGAAAAAAGAAAAAAAAGAGAAGAAAAAAAAAGAAAAGAAAAATTGCGAACGTCACTTTTCTCTTTTATTTTCACACTTTCCTTTTTCCTCACTTTTAATGTTGACGCGCAAACGTCATATTTATAATTTTTATTTGGAAAAGATTATTGCATAAGACAGTTTATTAAATATTATTTAGAAAAACTGAGAAAAGTCAAAACATTCTAAATACCGTAAAAGAAAGATAAAGTGGACGTTATATTTCTTTCCCTTTTTTTTTCCTTTTTTCTTTTTTCGTTTTTACACGCGAACGACATATTCATAATTTGATTAAATTAAAAGGGTTTATTGTATGTTTAGTAAAAATTGATTTTACAATAAGATAGAATAAGGTCCAAATATTTTGATTAATTGTAAAAGAAAAATTAAATAGGTTTTACGATCTTTTTGTCTTTTCTTTTCTTTTCTTTTTTTTTTTTTTTTTTTTTAGCCATAACGTAATAACGTAATAAAATATTCGTTTTATCATATTCGTAATTAAATAAATTTTGTGAAAGGTTTTCCTTTTGAGTTCATTGTACAACGTACATGTATATATATATATACGTGGCATACATACGTTATACATCGACACATTTTCCAAAACGAATTAATTTACCGTCGTGTAACGAGAGATTCGATTAGTAAGCTCTCAGAGCCATTCTTTTTCCCATAGCAGAGCCTCGCCATCTGTCATTATAATCATTTGCTCCATTGACATGCATTTTCCCCCTTCCCCGTTTCTATCAATCACCTCATTACTGTCGCACGCGCGCATCACCATGTTATTACGATAACGCGATTAGCGAGAATACCGACGAATCGACGCTCGAAAACGATCAACGTCGAAACGATCGACGACGAAGCTGCCGCATGTAAAATGTAAAATATAATATAATAATGATAAATAATAACAGGGAAAATGTGAATGTATTTATATACGTACATTTCGTATGATATTGTCGCAATGAGTTTCGTTAATGAAAATCCTTTCTACGATCGGAATCTTGTTTCAGACGGTCTCTGAAAATGCAAGATTGGACGTTAATTCGTCGGCAGGTGATGACGATTTAGAGTTATGGGACCAATCTGGATTCATGCTGCGAACCGACGTAGACGATCCTCTCACTAACGCGAAGTGAGTAATAAAGAGTAATAACGATCCCGATCATTAAATGAATTCTATTCTTTCATTTATTTATTTATATTTATTTTTTTTAGAAAAGGGCAAATTTCTTTTTTATTCACATTCATGTTTTATATTATTATTATTATTATTATTATTATTATTATTATTATTATTATTTTCTTATTTGTATAATTATATTGTTAACAAAGGTGGGGTGCACAAGGATGGTGCAGACCAAGTTGCATACCAATAACGGTTATCTTGATACTCATCGTTCTCGTCGTACTGTTACCCCTTCTTGATCATGCCACGGATAAATTCGTATTAAATTCGACGAGCATCGATGCCGAACTAACTTGTATGGATAGCTGTAGTATATCTCTCGTTGAATCCATACCGATTGGATTGAATTATAGCAATAATACGGTGTTACACGAGACTACCTACGACTCTTGGATGAATCTAATCGCAATGGCCGAAAATACAATAGAGATAGCGTCGTTATATTGGACCATGAGAAGACAAGAAGTTTATCCGGATGATAGTGCAAAAGAGGTAGATATCAATGAACGATTTGTCTAATATCTCTTAATATTTATATTACATATTAGATTTATCATTTATAATGTTAGAAAACATTCATTGATTTTAGGGCGAGGCAGTATTCCAAGCGCTCATAGAAGCAGGCCGTGATAGAAAAATTTCATTGAAGATAGCACAAAATATGCCTTCTCATATGTATCCGAACGTCGATACTGAAATATTGACTAAGAAAGCACACGCACAAGTGAGTCCTTCGATTCCATTTGTTCCGTTGTTCGTTGAAGCACGATTGCTATTGAAGCGTTACCGATCGGTTTAACGAACACTCCAGTAAATTTCTATTACTTCGTTGTCTACCCGTCTTTTCTATGCCTAACGAGGACATCACTATGCGGGTGCAACCTAATTTTATGTTTACTTATTAACCCACTTTCTCTACTTCGTCACGATTTACTCAAGGGCCGATAACACGTGTCGGATCTCGGTAGAGCGCACTTTGAACTTTCGTTTCGCACTGCTCTATTTCATTTATATTATTTAATAAAATATAATTAGGATCGTAAAAGCGCGTTTATTTTTTCCAGGTGAGAAGTTTAAATTTTGCCGGCCTTTTAGGTGGTGGTGTGCTTCATACTAAATTATGGCTGATAGATAGACAACATGTATATGTTGGCTCGGCTAACATGGATTGGCGATCTCTTACGCAAGTGAAAGAACTTGGATTGATTGCTTTGAATTGTTCTTGTTTGGCGACAGACTATGCTAAGATTTTTGACGTTAGTCATTTATAAAGATAAAAACAAATTTAATTATTATCCGATATGTTTATGATATTTAGAAATTTATACATTCTATCGTTTAGATCTATTGGCAATTGGGCAAAGATGGTAGAATACCACCAACATGGCCGGACTCCGTCAATACGAAAATAAATATTGATAATCCTATGAATTTTAGCTTAATGGGTAACAAATACAAAACGTATATTGCTGTAAGTATATCGTTCCATTAAGTTATTAAAATATGAATAAATTATATGTACGATATATTATTAATAATGATAATATATTCTTATCAGAGTTCGCCACCTCCATTTTCACCCAGTGGCAGAAGCAACGACATAGATGCCATTTTACATTGCATAGAAAAAGCAGAAAAATTCATTTACATTTCCGTAATGGATTATTTTCCTTTGATCATTTATACTCCAAAAGTAAAGTAAGTATTTCTGTTACATTGTTATATTATTTCACAATGTTGTTACATTATTTTATTTCATTCTTTTTCAATTTTATTTTTCATTTTTCCCCAGGTATTGGCCAGTAATAGATAATGCTTTAAGGGCAGCTGCTATCGAGCGTAAAGTCACGATCAAACTTTTAATATCTTTATGGAAACATTCGAGGGCATCTGAAAGTTACTTTCTTAGATCATTAGAAAAATTGACGAATAGTTACAGAAATGTCAAAATTGAAATAGTGAGTATTCTTGTACTATGTGAATTATTCTAATATATTGTTTTTTAAAAAAAAACGATACATTAAATAAAATATACTTTAATATTTTTAGAAACGATTTGTGGTACCCACTTCTTCGGAATTAGACAATATACCATTTTCAAGAGTCAATCATAACAAATATATGGTTACTGATATTTCTGCGTACATAGGTACAAGTAATTGGTCTGGTGATTACTTTGTCAATACAGCAGGTAAATTTTCTATAAATAAATTTATAACTATTTGTACTTATTTAACATTATTCTTATTTAATTTTTAGGAATTGGGACGGTTTTTGAAGATGTTGGCCATAAAAATCATGAAAGTATAAGACAACAATTGGAAAATATTTTTAATCGAGATTGGAATTCAAAGTATTCATTTCTGTTGAATAATACCGATCAAATTCCGATTGGAAACAATCATCTATTATCATCTCATATATATCATATGCCTGCATAATCATAACATAATATAACATTTTATGTTATATTATTATAAAAAATTTGAGATATGAATAAGAAAGAAAAAGAGTGATATAACTTCCTACCTTAATATAACTTCTTCTATATGATATATTTCTCTTTTCTTGTATGGTATATTTAAACTATACATGTATCTAATTCTGAACGAAGAAGGTGTATATCTTCTTCATAATTATTAATCAAATATTGGAGACTGAGAAAGGTCTGGTTTTAAAATAAGCAGTACAGAAAAATTTTTAAACGCACATCATGTTAAAAAAAAGATATCCTGTTGAAAGTATATTAAGCGTGGCTTCTTCCATTCAATTGTTTAATTATATTTTTATACTTATATGATCTTATATTTGTTAATTTAAATCCTAAATCATAATAATGATCTCTAGTTTGCAATATTACTTGTATTTTAGCAGATATAAAATTTGTGTAATATATGCATAATATGGTCTTTATTTTAATTAAAAGACAAATTTAAATTCTATATTTACTATAATTATAATTGTAAAGAATAACATAAGAATTACACAAGATCACTGATTACCATCAATCCTATGGCTGGAAAATGCAACTATTTTTTATTCCTAAACAATGGAAAACCTGTTGGATGTTAAATATTACAGATTTTTTACGTGATACTATAATCAATGAAGTAATGCCACAAATATATCTGTGCCTTGCTTTAAGTGTCCTTGCATGAACATTAATATAGCCAACATTTAAAACATTATACACAGACACAATCCATATATAAAACTTAGAAAAACTGTTATCAATATATTTTCTATGAGGCATATGTGATTGATACTGACTAAAGTAATATCAATATAAGATTTTCAAAAAATTTATCATTTTCCATTTTATCATTCAAATGTGAATCTTATTTAAGAATGAATCAGATGCATTTATATATATATACGTTTTCATGAAAATAATTTATATTTTTATGCATAATGTAAAGATGTATAATACTTGCACAAAAAAAACATAATATTTAAAATGTGAGTCTCTGTATAGAAAATTACAGTTATACATACACACACACACACATATATATATATATATATATATATATATATATATGTATATATATATGTCATCTGAGATACTAAATACTTCCTATATGTCATTTTAATTAATAAACTTATACATAAGACACTTTGTATATAAATTCAATGAATTGACAATGATATATTTGAATCATTATAGATTCCATCATTACAATTTTAAGGCATACATCTAATAATATAATATATTAAAGTATATGCTATATACACAGAATGTTATATGATCGTTGCAAGTTTATTATCTTCAAATGTATATATGTATGTATGTCAAAATGTATGTTCATTTAAGAATGCGCATGTGTACAAGGTATATACATATTTATTATAATTATCTCTGTTGTAAATTATATTGAAAGAATATGTAAAAATTCTATAGATTTGTTCAATCAGAATCTTCAATTTTGCAATCAAATAAATGTTGAAAAATAAGGATAATAATTTTTCAATATTACAAATGAGTACATTATATTACAAAAATGTACCAAAAGCAAAAATTATTAAATGATGATAAAAATTAATACAAATAAGTTATAAAATTACGTATCTCCTCTTTTGTTCATATGCTATAATCACAAACCTGAATCTTAAGACCATTTTTGTATACACGTTATAGAAAATGTACTAAATTATTGTTTTTTTTAATGTTACATCGATTCAAGAATCCTTGACTCTTATGAGTTTCATTTATCACTATCAAATGTTTGATCACGTGGAGAGATACTTTCTTATGATTGGTTAATTTTTCTAACCGTTTTCAAAATGGAGTTAAATCCTTCCAATTCCAAAATTACGTTGTTTCTTATGGACCATCGAATAAAAAATCTTATTTGTATGATGTTATTGCTTGATATGATATTGTTTATGTGATGTTAATATTTTCATATATACATAAATCAAATATTATGAAAAAAAGTATGTTCGTGTGATGAAACTATGTTAATTTTTATGAAACAAAGAAGAGAGAAGGTATTGTTATCAAACTATCATGTGATAAACATAACAATAAAAATATACAATTTTCGCTTTGTATCAATACGATGACATAACATGAAATTTTGAACTTATCATGTTAATTTTTATTGTCTGAAAGATAACCTATTTAATGCTGCATAGTTAAACATGTTACCATTGTATTTAGAAATTTATATATTTTTTCATTTCCATTAGAAATAATATTTCAATCATGAATAATTTAGGTATATTATAATATGTCAGTATAAAATTATTAAGATGCAATAAAGATATATTTTGTAATGTTTAATTCTATAGAACTTAATGAAATGGAAGTTATACAGAATCTTGACATTTCAACCGATTCACAGACAAATGGATTTGACTTGTCTGCTGGAAATATATGGATATATCCAGAGAATTATCCTGTTCGAGAGTATCAATTTAATATTGTTAATAGAGCTTTATATTATAATACTTTAATATGTCTACCAACAGGTAAGATAATTTTTTAATGTTATAATTTAAATTGTAAAAATGTAAAAATAATTTGTGTAAGTATATCTATAAAAGTGATGATGACAGATTAAGAATATTTATTCTGTTATTAGGATTGGGAAAAACATTCATCGCTGCTGTGGTAATGTATAATTTTTGGAGATGGTATCCATGTGGAAAAGTTGTGTTCCTTGCACCAACAAAGCCCTTAGTTGCTCAACAGATTGATGCTTGCCATAATGTAATGGGTATTCCAAGTATAGAAAGTATTGAACTCACAGGTATTTCATAAAATATCAATTAATAAAAATTTGTAACGTCAACATTACTTTACCTTAAGCAATAGTATACTTTTCTAAAGTTTCAATTAATACAATAGATTTTTTTTTTTTTTTTTTTTTTTTTTTTTTTAATAGGTAATGTAAATCATAAGACACGCCAAACAGCTTGGTATAAAAAAAGAATATTTTTTGCTACACCTCAAGTATTTCATAATGATCTTGAAAATAATATTATTCCCAGTGAACTTATAAAATGTGTTGTGATAGATGAAGCACATAAAGCATTGGGTAAACATTCATATTGTGAGGTACCTGATTTTCTACATTTCCTAATGATAAACAAAGTTAATATATTTTATTTTGTTTGATTTGTAATATTTGTAGTGTATCCGTATATTGAGTGAGAAAAATCAATATTTTAGAATACTAGCACTTTCTGCTACGCCAGGAAATAAAATTGCTAATGTTCATCAGGTAATTTAAAAATACTTCTTTTAAATTATTAATTTATCATTTGCCTTAAAAATTTATTTTTATTTATAGATAGTGCAAAATTTACACGTTGCACACATAGAATTAAGAGATGAAACATCTCTGGATATAATGCCATATATTAATAGAAGAAAGACAGATATTATTCTAGTACCTCTTGGTGAAGAATTAGAAAAGTATAAAGAAAGATATATTAATATAATGGATCGTCATGTCAAATTTCTCATTAGATGTAACGTTATTCGTGGACAAACTGCGACTATTTCTAAAGGCAAAGTAAGTTCTTTTCTATATAATAATAGTTAAATCATATATTTGATGTTTTAATATGTTACAAGAATATAATATATATTGTATAACTAGATATTTGTGATAATGAAAGAATTTCAAAAGACGGCAAATCAATCAGGAAATAATGGCCAAATTAAGAAAACATTAAATATACTACTTACTATGTATCATGCTTATGAATTAATGATTCGCCATGGACTTCGTGCCTTTTATAAGTTTTATCAAAGTATGTGTTTATTTAATAGGAATTTTGATGGTAGTCGTAATATACTTAATACGTTTAATATTTTTTTTAAGATCATTCTGATAAATTTTGGATGAACAGTGAAATTCAATTACAAGAATTAATAGCAGAAGTTCAAGCTTATTTGGGACCATTTCCAGATGTTCAATTATTTATTAATGGAAATATTCCTGAAGTTTGTATTTAATTTTTTATTCACCATTTGACTTATTATATTAATACTCATATAGTCTTTTTGCATGTTTAGATTCCAAATGATCTTGTATTCGGACATAATAAGTTTTTAAAATTAAAAGAATTGTTATTGCAACATTTCAAGATGGCAAGTACTACTGAAAATGATACAAGAGCTATAGTATTTGTAGAGGTTTGTATATATATATATCCATTTTATATAAATATATATTTTTATTAATATTTATTTAAACAGAAATCTTTTTAATTTTAAGTATAGTATAGAGACATTGTCAGCGAGGTATATATTTTATTGTTACAAGCAAGACCATTGATAAGACCACAAATGTTTGTTGGTCAAGCTGAACAAAAACAGAAACATCAAGTAAAGGCAATAGAAGATTTCAGAAAAAATCGTGTCAATGTACTCATTTCTACCAGTATAGGTATATATTATAATACAATAAATTTGTATGTATTTCAATAAAATTGATAATAAGAATTATTTTTTATTCATGTAGGTGAAGAAGGATTAGATGTTGGAGAAGTAGACTTGATAATATGTTTTGATGTATCACAAAAATCTCCAACTCGTCTTGTACAAAGAATGGGAAGAACTGGAAGAAAACGAGAGGGTCATATAATAATTCTTGTTACGGATGGCAAAGAGCACGAAGTATATATTATTATATTTTTTATATTTATTAATTTATGTATATATATATATATATATATACATATTATTTTCTAAATCTTTTTTTCTCTAAGGCTTTAAAATCTACAATAGCAAGAAGAGAATCTTTAAACAGTAAAATTCTTAATACAAGCAATATATTTTCCTCTTTATATCAAAACAATCCTCGCATGATACCAAACGAATGTAGTCCAGAATGTCATAAAATGCATATTAATGTACAACCAAAAAGTCCTGTGAAAAAAGATAAAAAGTCTAAAAAGGTAGATAATAAAAAGTTAAATGAAACATCGATGAAAAAGAGCAAAAATGTCAAACAATGTAAATATTTTTAATATGATAATTTATCATTTACAAGTGAATTATATTTTATCATATATTAATAATAATTAAAAATGGATTTCATTTTTTTTCCAGCTTTTACAAACGATATAAAAAATACGAATCAACCTTCATTGTCCAAATTTCTCGTAAATACAAAAAATAATGAACAGTTCAATAATGATGATGACAATGATGATGATAATATTGTAGAACTTGTGAAACCTACTATAATAGAAACTGATTTAAATAATAAAACTAATAATAAAACTAATTTAATAAAAGCATCGAACGTTAAATTGCTTATTTGTGATACTGAAGCAGTTGATTTTTTAACATTGTGTGCTATGAAGAAATCAGAAAAGGAAATGAAACTCGAAACACCTAAAATGGATATGACTTATGTTTCTTTAACTGAATCAATTACAAGTTTCGTTGATTTCACTGTACCTAGCCTAGATATACTTGATGACTTGGGTAATCATTTAAGTAACGTTAAACTAAACTTAAAATTACCAGAAGAAAATTCTCAAAGTGATTATGATGACGACAATTTTTGTTGTAACAATCAATATAATATTATGAGTCCAGTAAACACAGTCATGAATGAATGTATTAATGTTAGTGAGTCTAGATTTGAAGATCTACTCGATGAAAGTACTGATTCTAACAATACAATATTAAATTCTAATGAAAATGATGAAAATAATCTGGATACTAACGTTAATATTGCAGAACACAGCAAAGGAAAATCTGTAACTAATGTAAGGAATAGTGAACAACGTGACAATGAACTTAGTTTTTTTGAAGATATATTCAATGATTCATTTGAGTCAATTGAAAATGATTTAGAACACAATGAATTGAATATCGATAATGTCGAAAATAAGGAATTAAAGAAATTGGACTCATCGAACAATGACTCTTCCAAAATAGTAACAACTGATAAAATACAAGAAGAAACAAATAATTTAACATTATCAAAAATGCAAGCTAAGGAAGTACGTTCAAAGCATTGTGAGTCTATGTTTTCCATAACTCAAGCTGTTAATGAAATAAAAAAAATAAATTCCAATCCGAATGCTCGAACTGCACTTGCAGAAATAAAAGATACAGGACAATATGTAACGCAAAAGTCCAAATGCACATTAACTAATAATGTATCATATGTACAAAGTAATGTACAAATCAATGATTATGAATCTGAAGATGATATATTTGCATCCGAATTAGAAGAAGATTTGGAAATTAATAATGCAGGCAATGAGTCATCAAACAAGGAAAATCCGACAAATGAAACTTTATCAAATTCAAATATCAATATTCATAAAAATTTTAAATGTATAGGAGACAATCAATTTAAAGTCGATGCTTTTGAATGGAATAATGATTTTGAAGTATCATCTATTTCGGCTGCAAATTCTAAATACTTTAATAATTCTACTAATGCTAATTTAAGGGTAAAAAATACCAATACTGTAGCATCGTCTTTCGTAGATGATACTGTGTGGAATGATACGGATAGCGATGAATGGATATCATTCAATGAAAAGTCTAAATCAAAAGAACATACTAAGAGTAGTTCTTTGCGAATATCAAAAAAATTGTCTACCATAAAACATTCTTTTTCTAATTTCACTCCCATGGACGATCAGAATGATTCTGAAAATGATTTCGTTATAAATTTAAACGATATAGAAAAATTAAATGATTTGGAAACTAGTTATTTCTCTAAACAGAAAAATCAAAATTATGATATGTCTATTCCAAGTAGTAGCAATTTCAAAGACAAATCTTTTGAAAAAATTGAAACACCAGAGACGATGTTAAAAAATTTGAGTTCTTTTAAAGCCCCAGATAAATATTTAAAAAAACAGTACTCTAGCATAGCGAGTCAGAGTACTCAATCGAAGCATATCGATTCTTTAACGAATTCCTCATACAAAAGTCAATCAATAAAAGATAAAAGCAATAAGAAAAATCAATGCAAATATATAGATAACGAGGCAGAAGTATTTTTTGATAATAGTTCCGACGAAAGTTCTGGCAAAGACGAGGATCTATCAGATTTTGTTAGTTACACTCAACACGAAACGGATGACGATATGCATGCTTTATATTTACAAACCGTTAAAAATCCTATCAAACGACCTGGTGCTTTTGTTTTTAAAGAACCTAAAGAATTTAATAAAATGATAGAGATATATTCTCAACCTTGTTCACAGGCGAATGAATCATATCTTGAGGTTAATTTTAATACTTTATATTTGATATATATATATATATATATATATATATATATATATATATATTATAATTAGTATTGTATAATATAATTGTCAATTAACTAATATAACATTTGTTTTATTTAGGACTCTTTTTGTATAAATGGTGATCAAGATGATGTTGATGATAGTAAACATAATCATGGATATTCTATATTGGAAGAAGCAGAGAAAATATTAGAAAACAAAAAAAGAAAACGAATTAAATCTAATAGATCTGAGAATAGAGGATGGAAACATAGAAAAAAAAGGAAAAAATTGGAAGTATTAAATATTTCTACGAGTAGCGAGGATGAAACTGAGAGATTACGTACAGAGATTCAAGATGAGTCGATGATGTTGAAAGGTTTACATCCATAAAATTTTGTATCGCGTTATAGAGTGTAAGATTAAAAATGTTATTATATATTATACGAAACTATGAAAGATAGAAACCAAGAAAATTTATCTTTGATATTATTACTTTTAATTTTACACCTAATGTAATTTTTTTACTGCTTTTTTTTTTTTTTTTTTTTTTTTTTTTACGTAAATGTTTATAGACAGTAGAGCATTGTTCTATAATAAAATTTATGTTGAATGGAAATATTTCTCGTTAAGATGTTATATCGTATATTACAGATACGTGCAAATTTTTTCGTCGGAAAAGCGAAAAAATAATTCTCTCATTATTGCTACTCCTAATAGTTTATACACTTGATTGTACTTATTCCAATGTTTACAGATGTTATAATTACATGCATACAAAGTCATTATTTTTATAACAGAACCTTAGTAAGATCGTGGTGTAACAATGTAACAACAGTGAATAAACGTTGAATTGTTTGAATATTGTGAGAACGAGAATGTGATGTTAAGTACATACTTAGATAAAAAAAAAGAAAAAAAAAAACCTAGAAATAAGGAACAATAGATTCCACACGAGTCAATTTTGCACGTCTCTTTTATACAATATAAATATTATTTTATCATCTTCGATACCGTGATCATTCGATGTTTATTGTTATTTGATAGTGACTAAATTGTCACAACCAAGTATGGCATTAATCCATATAATGTTTTCTATTTGTGTTTTCTATTTGTATTAAATAGATGAAAAATAATCTATATAGAGGAGAGAATTTGACTTAATAAATAACGACAAATGATTAAAATAAATAACAACATAAACATTCAACGGTATCGTAGAGAACAATAATAAATAATCGGCTAAGATTGATGCACGAACGTATTTATGTATGAATTTATTAATGGCCGTTAGTTATAATTGATCATTTTTACGTTTGTAATGTGCCATTTATTTTGAATATGATGTTTTTGTATAATTTATATACCGCAATAACAAATATTATAATGATTTTTTCAAAAAAAGAAGAAAAAAAAGAAAAAAAATAAAAACAAATATATTATTTATTTCTCATTCCTGTTAGAAATAACGTGTAAAAATTTTAAGAAATTAGTCGTGGCAAAAAAATAGACAACTTCTATATAGAAAAATGGATAATATCAAGCTGTTTCAGACAAGCCAGGTATACTTTGTCAAGTGAAAGTGCTGTCCTTTATCAGCAAGGGATGAACTATTAAAAGAAAGAAAAACGACGCACAAAAATGTACCTGCAAATTCTGCCTGTACTATATAAGCAAAAGGTACGAAAATATTCGTCATTTGCTGAACTACGTTAAACGGACAAGAACGGTTTGAAAAGTTCGTGTACCCCAACGATCTACAAAAACGAACGTAAGTACATCGTCAATAACTTATAATATTTTATTTATATATATATATATAAATAATTGTTTAATTTTTAGATTCATTAAAGTAAAGTGTGGATTTACGTGAAAGACACAATATGTTTCGTTTTTTAATAATATCCACATTGATTAATTTGGGATTGGCGGGTTTAATCGTAAAACGTAATAGCAATTTTCAGTCAACTCAGGGACCACAAGAGCAATTGCAATCATCAACGGTTGCTCAGAATCAAATCGATAATCAATTGCAAAGGTATTCGTATTTCCAAGGAAATCAATTATCACCGGTGCTATATCAATATCCAAGCTATCCTGAATATATAAAAAATGGAGATCCTATTCAATCAAGATTAGAGGAAAGATACGAAGTTCCGATAACAGCATCGCCTCAAGAAAAGCATGAGTTGTCTTCTGGATTCGCAACAAGCTTGATTCCTTTGGCTACAAGCATTATGGTATATGGAACTCAATTTGGGACCTACCTGATATATTTCTTACTTGCTCTCACCGTGGGTGGTGTTATTACTATTTTAATATGCACTTTCACAAATATCTGTTCCAATAATATTTTAGATCTTTCACTGTATAATTCTCAGGTAACAAAAAAGAATCTACATTTGTCTCTAATACATTCTAATTAATTATTAAAAGATCTATGCTAATTATTTTATTTCCGTTATGTTTAACAGATGAAAGAACAAGTCGTTGATCTGGCACGAGCCTACATTACACCTGAAAGCTTAAATGCAGCTACTGTGTATATTTTGAGCGCTTACGATAAATATAACACTATGCAACAAGAGAAACGTGGTAGATCAAAGCAATAAACAACGAAATACCGATAATGATTATCATCAGTTAAATTTGTTATCGTTGTAATTATCATATTCTTATTTAAAGTTCCTATATTCGACTTTTTTTTATTTATTTATGAAACTGCGATTATAATAATTTTTATCATGAATAAACGTGAATTTCTTTTACATAAAAACCTACTTTTAATCCTCATCCTAGACTCATAGATCTTCTAATTTTCTGTTTTTGTATTATACGTTCTCTTATCAAATTGATTAATTTTACGAATCACTGTGGTCAAACAACATTGTATCAATGATTGTATAGGGAAATTTATGAGAGATATAATCTACAAAAGTAAAATTTATCTAACGTTCGACGTCAAAGGATTTCACGAGGATCTCCTGGAGAGTCATGAAAGAAGTTAGAGAAATTTATATTATATTAATATTCAATGTCTATTCTTAGTTAATTTCGTCACGTATACCATTAAGATGTCATTAAAAATTAACACGATAAATATTTTTCAGAAAGAAATACTTTTACATGAGTCACATAAACTGTTAGTTTCCTTCAGCGATTCCATTCTTCTCTCTCCCCACCATATTTCTTTTTCCACCACTCTGTCTCTTTTATTCTCTTCAAGTTTTATACAGCGACCGATGCTCGACCGGTTTTACTCTTTAGCGAACTCTATCGTACTCACTTCGTTCATACATTGTGTAGATACCGTATAGAATATTTAACACGCTATAAAAACGTTTGAGTTTGTTTAATAAATAAACTTGTTTAATATTAACGAAAAATCATCATGAAGCTGATTGAAATATTAGGTAAGAATTAATGTTCATCAATGATTAACTTTTAAATTCTTTATAACGATCAATCTATCAATTTATAAATTACGTTAGTTGACAATTACGTATTGCACGTTTAGTAAGGACAGATCTTTGATTAAAATTCTTTTTTAACGAAATAAAGAATAATTTTTAACGAAAATAGTCTTAGTATATTAATTCAATCGGTATTACAATGAATAACAATCAACGAAACGATAGAATATAATTAATAAATATAATTAAAATACAATCGTTCATGAAACACACCATTGAAAAAAAAAAAAGAAAAAAAGAAAAAAAAAAAAAGAAAAAAAAAAAAGAAAACTAATTATTACCTTTTAATGAAGATGATATTAATTTACTGGGAGTACTGTGAAAACGTAATCAATGGAAAAACTATGATTGATAGACGTATTTATAAAATGTTCGTATTGAACGTTACTAAATAACGTTTAATTAAATTCAAATTAAATGTAAAATTCTTCTTTTATTCGTTGACAATTGTTAAGGCTGATTGATGCGCAACAAACATATTAATCATCTTTAATTATTCTCAAGTTATTTAATTTATTTTTCACGTGTCATTAAAACTCAAGGTTACCGATTGTTTTGGTACCTAACACATATCCCCTTTAGTGATGTTCTGTGCGATTTCGTTCGAGCATTGAAATTCGAGTGTTTGTAAAGTTATTCGAATAAATTTCGTTAAAAGAAACATTGTCCCGTTACTTCTCTCTCTCTCTCTCTCTCTCTCTTCTCCCCCTCTTTCTCGTTCTCTTTCTTCGTCTCTCTTTTTCTCTTAAATAGAAAATGCTAAAAGATTTTAATTATAGGTTGCACTTTATTTTTATGGAGCATCCTGCTTGTATCTACGACAAAAAGTGCCGTTATACAGAGACAACAAAAAAATTTTAATGTTACGAATCCAACAATAAAAACCAATGTTTCTACGTATGACGATGACGACGAGGATTTCGTTCCTTATCAAGGAGAACGTTTTAATGTTTTTGACTGGATGCTTTTTAAAGTGGGTACATCCCAAGGAATTACTCGAATAAAACAAATAAAAATAAAAAAATTAATTCAATTCAATTCAATTCAATTCAATTTAATTTAATTTAATTTAATTTAATTTATCTTAATTTAATTTAATTTAACTTAATTTAATTTAATTTAATTTAATTTAATTTAATTTAATTTAATTTTATTTAATTTTATTTAAATTTCTGTATCTCTTTTGCAGACTATGGGAACGAAATATTCTGGAAATATATTATTATCACCGATATCTGTGAAAATGGCATTGGTTTTGCTTTACGAAGGAGCTCAGGATCAAACAGCTCATGAATTAGCTGGAGTTATGCAATTACCGGCTAGTCGATCAGCGACTCGCGATAAGTTTTCTGAAATCCTTCAATCATTAAGGGTAAATGTACAATTTATTATCTTTAATTTCGTCTCTCTCTCTCTCTCTTTGCGTAAAACGTATTGATCGTGTGCTACAGAGAATGTATCGATCGTCCTCTAAAAGTGGATAAACAGGATGTTATTCTTTCTTTTTTCTTTGACGATATCAGATGCTAAAATAATAGCTTTTAATATAATCAATGAAATCATGTTATTTGCATGTATGTTTGCAGATGATATGTCCTCAGTACGAATTGAATATCGGTACACGCATTTATGTCGATACTTCCATTTCTACGAGACAACGTTATGCTGCAATCGTGGAAACATTTTATGGGGTTAATCTTATAAATGCAAATTTGTCGGATACTCGAACAATTACCGAGAAAGTTAATTCTTGGGTAAAAAATGTGACACATGGGAATATCGGTAAATTGATTGAAGATGGTTAGTATAATAAAAAATATTTAAAAATATGAATGAATTAGTGAATTAAACATAAATCCTGTTTTACCTTTTTCTTACTTTCTTTCTCTTTTCTTTTTTTTATTTTTTGTAGAAAACAATTTGAAGGACTCGGTAATGTTAGTGGTCAATGCACTCTTTTTCAAGGGCACTTGGAGACGTCAATTCTTCTCATCTAAAAATACTTACATAGGGAAATTTTTTACAAGCACAAACAATAGCGTTGCTGTACCATTCATGTCTACAATCAATCGATTCTATTATTCAGAATCTCCAGAATTGGACGCAAAGATTCTCCGAATACCGTATGACGTAAGTCCTTATCAACATTACGGTAAATCTTTTAACACATTGACTGCAATGACAATTACCGTTTGTCGGCGATTGGTTTGGCTAATTTTATTTCAAATATTTATACATAGATATTAATATTTATATTTATTAATATACAAGACAATGCGATTAACGGCGAATATCATTTTAATATTCTTTTTTATTATTAAAAAAGAAAAAAAAAGAAGAAACATTGATTTATCCATTCATGAGTAGTCAACAAAGAAATCGCGACTCCTATGATAAAAAGATCTTATCTCAAAAATGGGAATTTTATTGATTTCTTCTATACTAGCTATCGAATGATTTCCAATGAATGAGTGTTCATCGATTACATGGGTAATTCCTAATCTTACTCATTATTTGATTTTATCTTTAGGGTCATAAATTTGCTATGTATTTGGTACTACCATATACATTAAACGGAGTAGATCACCTGTTGAAAGAGATTAATCCTTTTATATTGACGAGACATGTATGGTTAATGCAAGATATGCCGATTGAAGTGATCATTCCAAAATTTAAGTTCGACTTTACAAGCCATTTGGAGCCTTCTCTTCGTGAGGTACGTGCAAAATACATATTTAAAATATTATATACATATATTATTAATAATTCATTGATCGTAATACTAATTTGTATGTATTTGTGTGTGTGTGGGTGTGTGTGCGTGGATTTTTTTTTTGATCTATTCGTTTTAATACATTAAAGTTGGGTATTCGAGATATATTCGACGATACTGCTACTTTGACGGGTATAGCAAAGACAAAACGTATTTCCCGGCACCTCATCGTTTCGGATATCCTCCAAAAAACTGGTATTGAAGTGAATGAAAATGGAACAACCGCTTATGCAGCCACCGGTAAGTTTACTGTAAACGAATATCATTTTAATAATTAACCAGGAAGTATATGAATAGAGAGAAAAACATGTGCTATGTTATTTCACGTTCGCATGAATGTGATTAGCGTAGAACGTTGCTCTAATTTATATATTTAGAATTTATTAATTAACTCCAATTCAATTTTTTCTTTATTTACTTTATTTGACAAATATTATGATATGTATAATTTATAGTAGATATAATTTCTCTTTAATAAACATTAACTTTTGAATATGAATTAATTTTGTAAGGGGGTAAAACAAAAAAAAAAAAAGAATGAAAAAATATAAATATAATGAGTATGTGATTTGTAATATTACATTGTATTATATAGCTCTAATTACGATTGTTGCTTATTTATTTATTTATTTCTCATAGGTGTACAAATCGGGAATAAAATTTCTGATCAAACCTTCCACGCGGATCATCCATTCGTTTTTTATATCGAGGACGAATCGACAGGTACTATTCTTTACATTGGAAAAATCATGAATCCTCTACAACGAGAAGGAAGTACAGGAAATGTAAATGTGGATTTATCATCACGTTCGGGTCAAGGTACACGACCTTCTCTATCATCCACTTCCGGTAAAGGCTTATAAAATTAGGATTTGATAAATGGTGGATGACGTGATTCGATATACTAACATTTCTCTTTAAAATCTAAATGATTGTAGCTTTTCATGGTGTTATTTGGTTATGGGTTATTTATTTTTAATTAACACTTCGATCATTTGTCGACGCCTTTATCAGTTGAAATTTTTTGATAATTTATTTTAAATTTGAAACCGGTGATTAAAAATTAATTTTTGAAATTAATTAAGTTGACTAAATTTATGATAACGTAATAAAAATTTCAATAGTTAAAGAGTCCTATAACAGTGTTCGTGAAACGTAACAACAGTATTTTTAGAGGCTATAACTTTGAAATAAATTAATCCTACGTAAAAGAAGATAGATAGATGATAACAAGTTTTTTATTTTATTATACTCTCTTACGTTATAGAAAATGTTTATTTTAAATTTGAGAGTCAATCGAAAAACTTGTTGTTATATTTATCCAAATATGAAAACAATAATGTACCAAAGAATTATATTTATAATAAAGTTATAATAGAAAAATGAAACGAAGAGTTGAGCTGAATATTTCAGAATAAAGCCGAGTATGATACAAGGTTAAATAAAAAGATATTCAATTATAATATCTTTGTAACTTTAACTTGTAAATATGACAACAAAGATACGTTCTTCCTTGATAATTTTTCCTACAAATCTCTTTTTGCTAATTTTTTACTTATTTTGTTTACAAGACATTATAATACTTGGACAAATAAAATTATAAGTAGATTATATATATATATATACATAAAATGGCGAATTTAAATCGGATCCTAAATATTCCCATTATTTATAGTTCTATACAAAAAGTCCTTAGAACAAAGTCATGTTATTTAAAGGTATATTAAAAGAATTTTTTATCGAAGCCATTTTTTTCAAGGTCACACTTTTTTTTTTCTTTTTTTTTTTTTTTTTTTTTTTTTTTTTTAATAATGGTTTAGTATAAATTGATTCAGGCCATTTTGAATAAAAGAATATTAGGATATAATGTTGAAAAATGATTAATTCACGAAGTATTTTGAATTATTTCACTATTGAAAAAAATATAATCATGAATATATGAATATGTAGTTTACCTTGAACTTTTAATTTTCTTCCTCTAATATTATTTTCTAGTTCAATCAAAATAAAAATATGTCTTATTATAAATGCATGAAACACAGGTCTCTTATATACGTATATATATTTTTTCTCTATAAAAAAAATTTTAATTTTATATATATATAGAGAGAGAGAGGGAGAGAGATTAAATGTATATATATATATATGTGTGTTATACACGCATGATTAGATATAAGCAAAAAGTTCGTGTAAAAATATACATTCCTGGGACGTTCCCATGACGCAAAAGTGCGGAAATTCCAAAGTTGTACAATATAAACATTTTATTATTTGGGTTGAAATGCTTTATTTCTTTAAGAAGGTATATATGTATTGGTTAATGGTATCAATATAAACTTTTATCTTATAAACGTTTATAAACTCTGTGTTTACATAGTCACATAAACAAACGATTTAGTTCGATGACACATCGTCAATATGATATATCTATAAATATCATCAATTATTTATAAGAAAATAAATCAGGTGAGAGTGAAAAATCGCAGAAATGTCGATTAACTTCCTTTAAAATACGTAAAAAAAAATTACGACAAATGTGTCATATTTTATAGAAGAGTTGTTATCTTAGTATTTTTTTTTATTCTCTTTCTTTATAAAAATTTTATTTATCTATTTTTTCTTATCGAAAAGAAGTAAAATATCTTTTTGTTAAATTAAAATTTTTCTCTTTTACATCTAATATGATGTAAGTAAGTAGAAGAATTTTTTATCACGTACGTATTATTAATATGACATGGATCGTTAAATAAAACATCATTTTGCTTTGTTCATATTGAATTAAAATGATATCCAATGAAATCTGAGAGGGGAGGATACATAACAGAGTGGACAAACGTTGAACAGAAAAGTCGTTTCATTTCACCGTCGGAACTTGTCTTGATCGTATCGCGGTATTAATAGTTCTACAAAAGCGTATGAAATTTTCGAAAAGAGAAACAATTGAAAGATTTATAACATCAGAGTGTTTGTTTATATAACGGATCATTGTTATCGTGTGTGTTAATTATATAGTGCCGAAATATGTGGGAATTATTATCATTGTTGCTCCTCTTCATTTCTTCTACGCATACCATAAAAGGTATATATATATATATATAAATAGTTACATGCAGCATGCATACAAAGAATTAATCATTTACATATTCGATCGAAAACGTAGTTTCCATGCGGTTAAATTAGAGAGTATTATTGTGACTGAACATTTGTACGATTCAATTTAAGTCCTGTATCATCTTGTTTTATCCAGCTATAGAATATATAAATAGCTATGCTCAGTCTATCTCTCATTATGATATTCCTTCAAGAATATGATTTTTATTATTGTTATGTAATATTGACGATAATTTCATATTAATCACAATATGAGTTTAATATGAGATTTATGTTAATTACGATATCGAAGAAAATTAATTCTTGCCTTTTTCTTTTTTTTTTTTTTTTTTCTTTTTCTTTATAATTTCTTATAACGTAACATTTAGTTTCTTTTTTCTATTTTTTGTTTCTTAATAATTGTTTATATTCAATTGTTCATAGATAATGTATTTTCAATACCCCATGGCGAGGAACGATATAATTTTTTCAACATCGACTTATTGCAGGTAAGACAGAAGCTAAATGAATAATAATTGATTCTATATTATAATGATTAATGAAATTTTATTTAATAAATTTAAGGAGGTGAATAAAGAAATCGAAGGGAATGTAATAATGTCTCCTGCGAGTGCTAAATTAGCTCTAACGACTCTCGCCGAAGGTGCTAAAGGACAAACTCTTCAAGAAATACAGGCTGCATTGAGATTGCCTGAAAATTTACAAGATATCAGGACTATTGCTCAACGTACTTATGCGGCCTTGAAAGTATACCTTGACATCAATTCATAATTTTTCGATAGTTTTATTTTTAAAACGTTCCGTGTCATGTGTACCACCGGTGGTACACGCAGTCATTTTTTTCTTTAGTCAAAATATCAAATGGCCTGAACGACAAGTTAGACAAAAATGGCTTAGCACGGAACTTGTTAACAATATTTATAATAAAAAAAAAAAAAATGTGTGTGTGTGTGTGCGTATTTATAAAATTTCTATTTTTATAGACTTTCAAAAATGGCACGGAGATTGATGTAGCAACTCGATTATGGTCTAAAAGAGGTCTAAAAATAATGAATAATTATGATATTATTCTGAAACGATATTACGGTGGAGATATTCAACCTCTTGACTTTACAAATGGATATAATGCCGAAGAAACGATCAATAACTGGGTACGCGTTGCCACTCGTAACAACGTTAAGTCTATCATAGAGCCTGGTTCGTAGAAATTCGATTCGATCATGTGCATTAAATATCGTCTATATGATTTTTATGATTATTTTTTCTTACAGGTAGCCTTAATGCGGATACGACTTTAATTTTGACGTCAGCATTATATTTCAAAGGAAAATGGTTGAAATCATTTGATAGAAATGCAGGATTCACTGATTGTTTCTATGTTCCTAAAATAGGTTGTCAAAATACAAATTTTATGGCGACTACAGCAGAATATCCTTATGGACACATTGCATCTTTGAATGCAGATGTAGTAGAGATACCGTATACTGTATGGAACAATATTATTCTTTAATTTGATTTATGATATAATTGATTGAATGAATTAATGCATTGAAAGAATTTCTTTTTATAGGATGGAAAGACTGCAATGATAGTTTTATTACCTAATAATCATGAACTGGATCCAAATCTTCAAATTCTATCAAAGGATTTATCTTATATACCTATGTCTGCCTTAATCGCAAATCTTTATCCAACGGAAGTTAATCTGATACTTCCTAAGTTTTCTATAGAAAATAAACTTGATCTCCGATTTGCACTGGAACATGTGAGTATCATTATTATGTTTTTAAATTATATGCTCTTACTTAACATTTTTTTTTTTTTTTATATAGATGGGAGTAAATACTATGTTTAAGACAAGCGCAGATTTATCCGGAATTACAGAGGATGGTCCTTTACACGTTAAAAGTATTTTACAAAATGCTAAAATAGAAGTTGATGAAGAAGGAACTATTGCATCTGCAGTAACAGGTAATATAATCTTATAATAATATTATTACTGATCAATTAAATAATAAAATATTAAATGTATTTATAGGTCTTTCTATAGTGCCATTAATGGGATCAAATAAAGAAACTTTTAGAGCTAATCATCCGTTCCTCTTTGCTATAGTGGATTTACAAACAAACTCAACTCTTTTTGCTGGTCGTTATATACGTCCTAATTTAAGTAATTGAAATATTATTCAATAAAAGAAATAATGTACTTTTAATATATGTATAAATACTTCTTTTTTTTTTTTTAATGAAAAAATATGATTCGTATTCAATATATACTAGGTAATATTTAATATTTTATCTTTTAAATATGACAATTATAAGTTCTTTCTTTCAAATTATTAAATCATACATTAGGAAAAAAATTAGCTGGTAATTCATTTTGTAACAATGCCAAAAATGATCACTTATTGGTTACTCATTGCAAAACAGTATAGAAATAAAATGACTTCATTATATACCACTTGCTTTTTTATTTACATTCTCACAGAGAAAACAATTGTCTATTAAATATACAACTAGTGTATAAAAATTTCTAATCAGCCCATTTACTCTTCATACTTGTGTTTGATGTCTTTCCATAGTTTCTATAATAAAAAAAAAATATATACTTCGTTAATATATTTTACTATGCTATAAATGTCATATTTTTCATCTAAATCAATTATTCTCATAATAGGTTATTTACAGGCAAGTTATTTGACTGCATCATAAAATTACATAATTCTACTTAAGAAGTTCTCAGAATTTGCGTTTAATTTTTTTGCAAATTAATAAGACGATTTATCACATTATAAATACAAGATATTAATTTAATATTATAAACGAATTGTTTTAAGACACATAAATATTAATATTATGTTCGATATTAATAATTTTTACTTACTCCTTTGTTGATCGTATAAAATAATGTGTCACTGGCTAAATCGAAAGCACGTTCGAATAAAAATGTTCCGGTTATTATAGTCAGAGCATACGTAGATGTTCGTTTTAAAAAGATGTTGTATAACGTAGTACGTAAATTCGACATAGTTTTATGTCGATGTTAAATGTTCTACAAGAATTTATATCAGAAACACCTTAAATACTGCTGGAAGAATCCTTTATTGTTACGATTCCCTTCGTTCAATAGTTTTAAAGATGGCTTAACTCATACATAGAATTTGGTTTTATTTTATTCATAGACAATATGGAACATAGAGCGAATGAACGATGGAAATTGTTGAACTTCTTCGTGTCGCAAACTATATTACCGATAGATGTAAGAAGTACAATGTAGTGTCGATAAAGTAGAATTTTACGCGAGAAAACTGTTTTATCAAATAATGTTATAGTTTATCTAAGATTTAAGGATCTAATCTGCTTGAAACTAAACGTTTTTTTTTTTTTTTTTTTTTTTTTTTGATGAACCAATCTTCTATATCTATTATTTCTTATATGCTACTCTTTCCAATTAAATAAATATCATTCAATAACCTCAAATAATGGCGAAAGAATTTAATAGAGATGTTTGATCGATAAAGAAATTTTTACAAACGTATATAATAAAAAGATATATTTACAAACATTTAACACACATATGCACACACACACACACATACACACACATATATATATATATATGTATAATAATAATTTTACTAGAAAATTATATACGTAATTATTAGAACGTTTTAACACATTGTCATGCGCCAAGGTAACCGTGGTAACTAACGATGTAAATACAGTAGAATATTATTGTCTCATAAAATAATTCGTATATATCATAGATCACAAAGAAAATACTAATTATTTAATAAAAGTTAATGAACCTTTAGAGGGAAACAATGAATGACGATCGATATTTACGAGAGAAAAATAATTAACGATGGAAAATAATTGCGAAGTTAATTGATATGGTATGCTAATTTGTACAAAGAAAGTAAATGCGGGAGAAGATCGAGGAAGATTTACGAAGAAGAAGAAGAAGAAAGAAGAGGAGAAGAAGAAGAAGAAGAAGAAGGGGAATCAACTACCTCGAATGTCAAGGAAGGAGAAATTAATCGAAACGTTATATGTATATACATAGGAATAGCCAACATCAAGGAAACGCATGGATACTAATTACAGAGCGAATATCGCCAAGTGGCTACCCTTTCCTGGAGTTGCCCTCGAGAACTGGTTGGCAGACTCTTCCGTGTTAAACGAGAGGATGAGCAAACTCGCGGAACATATAGCCTTAATAATCGAGGATGTTGCGAAAGCACAAGCTTGTGATTTCGAGGTAGGAAACTATTGCTTTTAATTGCTACAATCGTACCTCTCCTACTCTCCTTCTTTCTCTCTCTTGTTTTTTCTTTATTTCTTTGTTTTTTCTTTTATTGTTCTATAATGTAAAATTTAAAAAATTTTTAATATAATGAGATAATCGAATTTTATTGTAAAAAAAATTTTTATTGTAATAAACGTACGATTGCAGATATTCGAGGAGATCATCGACAATCTCGAAGACATAACGAAAAGTTATAAATCATTGTTCAATGGAATGACGGAAACAACGCATCCGATTTATAAATACAAAGTGCAACACTTTTCTATGATATTGAAAAGAAAACATAATGTCGTCGCTAAATTCACTCGAAATCTCATAATCGAAATCGTTGATTCCAAAACTGACGAGATATTACGTATCATTTTTAAAATGATTAATGCATATAACAAGATGCTCGATTTGGACCATGATATCTTGGATACGTCCGTTAATGTCTTTTGCAATGATTGTCCATCTTCGTTAGAACCTTTAAAAAAATTTTCCGTAACTCGAATATTACAAGTAAGAATATATTCGAAGTTCGATCGTTGATTTATTTATCAAATAAAAATAATTAATAAAGTCAATTGTCGTAGATATTGGCGAAAAATCGTGCCGAGGAAACGTGTCATGAATTAATCGATTGTCTATTAGCAAATTATGAACCACACACGAAAGAGGATGTTACATCAGCATCCAATGACGTTGACCTTTCCGAAAATTCTAGCATCGAGATTTATCGGTTGGTTTGTTAACATCTAATGGTCTCAACCGTTTATATTATCATTAAAGTTGGAAAATAGATGAATTAATAATTATACATGTTATTGCGTTACGTCCTTTTAGAGCTCTCACGAGACACTTGACGCCACCAATCGTTAGCGATGCCTCAACGTTTCAACAAACACAACCATCGAATCTCGAGAGTATTCAAGCACTTGTGAATACTCAGAATGAACAAGTTCTAAGACTTCTTAGCATTGTCCAAGATATTTCACCACAGTTACTTGGTTCCGACGCTTTGAAGATTATTGATGGTACGATATATAACTTTATTCTTTTGAAATAACGATCTTTTTCTATAAAAATAATTTCAAGGAAATAATAGAGCATCTTCCTTAACTTTTCCCTTCAAGATAGAAGGTCGGTTATCGAAAGTTGCTTATTAGTTAACTTCAACGAAGAAAATTTTTCGTGATAATATTAATTATAATAATAATATTACACTTTAAGAATAGACCTAAGGGAAATTTTAATGAAAAATGCAAAAGATGCACGATTAATATACCGGGTGTATCACTTAAAACAAGTAATCTAATTGTCTTGATTAATTGTAAAGACGCTAAAAATAATTTTTATCCAATTTCAATGGTCTCAATGAGCCTGATCCAATTGAAAAAAAAAAAAAAAAAAAAACATTTTATCTCGATCTAATTTCCTTCGAAGTTTTCCTTCAATTTTTCATATCGTGACAATTAAAGAAGATGGATTAGGCTAACTGTTTTACGTGAAACGTTCTGTATAACTCGTAACGATTAAAATGAAATATATTCGACACGAATGTAATTAATTTTTTCGAATCGTTTATAGGAGAAAAGAGACTAAAAGGTAGCGCGATAAGAAAGGTAAAAAATTATTATCAGGAGGTAGCTTGGGCAGCTCTTTCGGGGATGTTAGATCACGTTGTTTTATGGTGGTCACCGGAAGCTCTGGCTTCTCATCATAATCATGGAGCGGAACACTTGAAAAACTGGTTGAGACAATTCATTCAAAAAAATGCGGGTGAGGCACGTAATCACTTCATTGAATATACGTTCAACGTCGAAGAGTTCGAATAATTCGATGATCAAATTTTAGTTCCGCCGACAGTTAAACCTGCTTTACAAAATTTATGCGATGCTCTCGGTTATCACGTTACTATCACATCTTGGGACCAATTATTTCGAATAGCGTATACGTCCTCTTTCAAATGCCAATCGAGACCTTCTACTACTGAGGTTGGTTTTTTTCCTTTTTTTTTCTTTCTTTTGAGATTGTTTTGTTTTTTCTTACTCTCTTTCTTTTTTTTTTCTCTTTTTAACATTTTTCAACTTAGTAACTTTAACTAGTTTTATTACTTTTCCATTGTATTTCTTTTCGTGTAATGATCTTATCTTATTTCATTAGAAATAATATTATGCATTTAAATTCTTTCTCTTCATCTTTCCCTCCCTCCCTTCTCCCTCCCTCTTCCCTCCCTCTCTCCTTCTCTCTTTTACTTTCTGTGTTTAGCGCTAACTAACTCTATTTAGTTTGTTTTGATATAATTTTATCTCGATTTGTTAAATGTAGGTATTATGGATATAAAATGAATATGTATATCCATCTATTTCTCTTTTCCTCTCTCTGTTTTCTTTTTTTTTTTTTTTTTTTTTTTTTTCTTTAATAATACACTCCGTAGTAGGAATGGAATTTAAATTTCAAATATTTTGACAATCGCGTTGGATTTAATTATAACCCGTTTAACGATTTCTCTTTACCCATTTTCTAGGGCACGGACACGGGTCAAATGTTCAGCGAGCTTTTCCAATTACTGGTAACGCTGAGCAACGAGTGCGAGGTCGGAGGTGAATGGGTGATCGGCGCGCCGTTAATGGAATTGCCGATTTCAGAACAGATCGTCGTTCTTCACAGGCTCGATCACTCGGTCCACACTGCTAGGCTCTGGGTCATGCAGGAATCCAAGATGATTGCTCACACTTGGAATCTGGATGTTTTATTTCTAATGGTCAAGGGCGACGTGGTCAATTGTCTCGAGGAACTATCTTATCTCAAGGTTGAAATTACTATCATATTATTCGACAATGTTTACATTAATATTTTCCCATTGACATTTCCTCGCTGACTCATCTCATCGATACTTCTTTTTTTTTTTTTTTTTTTTTATTTTTTAATATGTTCATTTTCCTGACAAATTGTGTTTCCTATCATTAATGTATATCTTTTGGGTATATCAGGCAATGAAATATCTTTATACAGATAATTCTATTGATAATTTTAAAATCAGACAGGGAAAAAAAATATTCTTTGCAACTTTTTAAAAAGTATAATATACTAGCAGCAGTTATAGTTATCTAGTCTTTTTTTTTAATCATATTTTTACATAACCATAAATATCGTCTTCATTTCTATATTTATTGCATATAAAACTATCAATATCAGATTTCGATATTTTTTCGAATGGATGTAAACGAACGAATGGAAGTAACGATGTCATGTCATACGATTAAACAGAGACAAATTATAACTAATACGATCTAAAATTCTGTACTGATTGATAAAAATGATTATACTGATTATAATCGAATGTCGATCATAACGACGTATAAAAAAAATAATCTGAAGTTTGTATGCTTTTGAAAAGCACGTTAATAAGAACATATACCGTTAAAATAGTATCACTGTGAAATATCGTCGAGAAAGTTTTTGTTCCATTAAACGTATATACGTCTCTCGATCTCTTTTATTCTTACCATTAAATAGAATTTTTTTGAGTACATCTACTCTTTTCGCGAAATCAAATTCAATTGTCGAATTGAATCTCTATCGATTGTAGCTCGCCGATCATTCGAGTGCACTTTCGGAGGATTCCGTTAGCGTACAAGTGCTCGTTTGCGTCAAGATGAGAGCTAAAATCGTTTCCGAGGTGAACGCCAACGTACAGTTGTTGCAGGTAATATCATGATTTTTCTCATATTTCTTCTTGAAACGAAAATATTAAACATATGTATATATCTAAATATGTATATACATTTTAATACATTACAAGTTGATCTCTTTGAAATAATTAAATATGATAAGACGAGTGTTAAAATTAAAATGAAACGAAAAATATTATAATCAACGAAATATATTTTAGTCAAAATTAATTATTCGCGAGATCTTTAATCGTTATGTGATTTTGAAAAATTCTGAGCTTATATATAGTTCAAATGTTGTATCCTTTACTTACGTACTGTATATTTGTAAATCGACAGGATGCACCGGTAAAGTGCATAGATATACTCGCCAAGATCTGTCGCGTGATCAGCCTAGCGAATTTACACATGTGTTTCCCACGATCAAATTATTGGAGAAAGAGCAGCGACGTGGCACCTGCGGCAGCAAGTTCCTACGTTGAAACTTATTTCGGTAACGCGTTGATATTATATGTATACTTTAGAAGAGAAAAAAAAAAAAAAAAAAAGAAAAAAAAAATAAAAGAAAATAAAAAAAATCTCAATCAATGTTTGGCAAGAACGTTTGTTTTAGAGAAGATTTTATTACCGGTTCTCGAGGTTATAGAGGATCCTGATATTTCAAATATGATATTGAAAATAATGTGCGAAGCCTGGCTCGATTATATTTATTTGCATCGCATCAAATTCAGGTAAATTAAATCGTAAATAAAATGCAGAACGGTAAATGAATCCAAACAAATTTTTCTTTTTTTTTCTTTTTTTTTTCTTTTTCTTTTTTTCAGCGAGTACGGAGCTCTTCAGTTACTCACCGACTTTGCCTACGTTTCCACGTGGGTAACAGCGTGCTCAATAATATCGCAGAATGTGAGGAATCATTTATTGAAGAACGAAATGTTACGCCGTTGCGAGGGCGTCGGTCGACTTCTTCTTAGACATCCAGGAGAAGCGATTCCTATGCAGAAACGACTTGGTAAGTGTATTTTGTCTCTTCGGGGAACAATTAAGGATTTCGTAGAGTCGACGTCTTTGTTCAGAATTTCAAAAAAAGGAAAAGAAGGAGAAAGAAAGAGAGAGAGAGAGAGAGAGAGAGAAAAAGATAGTAATACACGAGAAAGCATTTCTCAAGTGGCTAGAAAGTAATTAGTCTCCGTCATCTCTATTCACTCTCTCTTTCACGCAACAAGTACAAAAGTATGTTCGGTGCTTCAGCTCGTAGGACAAATGATAGCGGATCACCGGAATCACCCGGTCTCGAGCGGATGCCAGCGGAAATGTATGTCCCGAATCAGGAACAATGGCTCGAACTTCGAGCACCGAAGCGATACAACTTTTGCTGTACGGAATAAGTGGAATAAATTCAACGCAATCGACTTTCTTCTTATCTTTTTTCTTTTCTTTTTTATTTTCTCTCTCTCTCTCTCTCTCTCTCTCTCTCGTTCTCTCTCTTGTCTTTCCATCTTGTTTTTTTCTTTTACTCAGAAAGAAACGCTTTCATTTAATCGTTTTAACTTCTCGAATAATTCTTTTCGAGATTTATAAGGATCATCTCTAATCGATCTATCAGCTTGAACGAAACTAACGATGGATTTTATCAGAAAACCGGATGGATTTTATATTATCATCGTACAATTCGTAATTTGTACTTACTTACATTCCCTTTGAAGCCAACCAAACGACAGAAGCCTCTTCGTGTATGGCCTCTTACGTGTATCGTCTTACGCTTCGCGTTGAAGAGTGAAACGTTCTTACTCGACACGATCGTCGACCTTTGTTCCGTGTCATGTATGTATATATTCTGTTTAAACTTCTATGTTGTTGTTGGTTTTTATTTTCTTACGTTGTCCTATATTTTGATCGCTGTATGTTTCAAGATCAATGTGAACGTAATATCGAATAACAAATAAGATAATTACCTGGAAAAAAAAAAATATGTGTATTTATATATTCGTATTAATTCGAGAAAACTAAGAGTTCAATTGAGTTGAAATAACTAAGAGTCTCAAAACTAAGAGTCTCAATAATAAAAACGTTTAATTATTGTATCGATAATATTTTGTATAACATTTATGTATTTACGTTTTAATTAATACTCATGCTCATCAATGGATTCTTAGATTATGGGATATTTAAAAATTAATTAAGATTTAATTGTACAAATAATTCTTAACTATTTATTACATCTTGATAAATAAAAAGACGTTTATTTAATAATATAATTAATATCTCAATATTTGAATTTATTGATTTTTTAATTCAATTATTAATTATTTTAGAAAATTATTATTTTTTTTTATTGTTCGCTAGATTGATAGAAATTATCGATGATCGAAATCGTACGAGGTGATGTTTTACTTCGTATTAAAATTATCTTCGTATTGGTTAATACCACAAAATAAAAATACGTCGAGTTGACTCACGTTACATTCTCAGTTCCTTGATTCGTGACTAACCTTATGTAACCCAACCAGTCCGTCATGCTTACGTAGATGCAAATACATATATATATATATATATATATATATATATATATAATTATACATATATATATATATATATATATGCATACAATTACTATGGAGTCCCGTTGAATCGTTGAACATTTTAAATCATTTTCTTAAACCTTGTTTTCTTACGAAGATGTAGATTTCAATCTTATTTTTCTCCATTTTATCATTTATTAATTTCTTATAATCATATAAATTTGTATTTAATTATCTCAATTTATTATTATCCTCAAATTAAAAAAATATCTTTCAAAAAATTTCTTCATGATCGTTGACATAATAACATTGCAAAATTTTGCAAATATTATCTTGATTTATAAATAAGTATTATCTTATTCTAATAAATTCTTTATTAATTGAATCAAGTAAATAATTTTCAATAATATATTGAACGTAAGAAAAGAAGATTTTCAATGAATATTACAGGATAAATAAAAAGAAATGAATATAGTCTCATATGTACAATATATTAAAGTACATATGTATGCGTATATATAAAAGCATCGTTGGATCGGTTTACCCCTTTTGAAACCTTTTTTCTCCTATAGTATAGTACAATCTTGTGGTAAGACGAACCGAGCCGAACGCGGGAGGAGAATAGAGACGAGAAACAAGGGAGAGAGCGTTGGTAGTGGCAAGTATTAGCGTTACCATCGTCATCGTCGTCCTCTCTAACGCAGTCTCTTCGTTCGTCGGTCGACGTATATACATACGATCAAGTAAAAAGTTTCGGTCAAATATTGTCTTGTTTACAAAAAAACAAAAAAAAAAAACAAAAACAAAAACAAAAACAAAAAAGTCATTAGACATAGTCTTTCCCTCTTTTATCTTTCTTTCTCATTATTTTCTTTCATTATCACCTTTCCATTATATTTTTTTTCTTTTATTATATCGTGAACGTGCGCGCATTTGCGCGCACGGCAAAGTATGCGTATCACCGAAAGAACTTCGTTGACCAGACCAACCGATTCGCCTGATTACGTTGAGTTTGCGAGTCTCTTGAGGACGAGAAGAGCTCGAATTCGAAACTTTCAATGCTGCATTTGCGCAAGTCTCATGTAAGTCCACTATTTATGTAATCTCTTGAGAAGATTAAAAAAAAAAAGAAGAAGGAAAGAAAAAGAAAAAAAAAAAAGGAGAAAAATAAAATAATCGAGACAGATAACACACGCACGTATCACATTGTGTTAAATCCAAGTCAAATCGTTTAGTATCGTTGATATTGGCTTATTAACGAGGCGAAACATTTTCTTCTCATGGATACAACGATGTCGACGACATTTTCGAAAATTACATGTTACGATCACTTTCCCGTCCGTTAAATCGCTTAATATTCCTGTTACGGATACTAGATGATAATCCACGCAACGCGTTGCTTTACGCTATGATCATTAACTTCTGGATGATCTGTTTACGGGCTCTTAATTTGATTTATGAGACGGCCTGCTTGAATTCTCTCAACACTTTGGGAATGCACCAGGTCGTGGATACTGCACGCGTTCTCATAATTAAATACCTTTACTTAATTACATAACAATGTAATGTACGTGGATAGGTAGTTACTACTATAGTTAGAAAAAAATTTCGAACGTTTTTTCGATTTTCTCTGGAACGGGAACGAGTTGCGGAATTGAAACGAAAATACCTATTCCATCGTTAATTATTTTGTGCCTCCCTTCGTTCTTTTCTCTTCTTTTTTTTCTTTTTTTTTTTTTTTTGTTCTTTTATTATTGTACCATATTCATTCTCGTTATCCTTCGTTTACCACGCCCGTTCGTTATACAAGTTCATTATGCGAATTTACAAGAAAACAGCGTGCGCGCGCATATGACAAATAGTATTATATAAAAATAAATATCTCCGTGACATTGATATCTTTTTTTCTTTTTTCATTTTTATATATATATATTTTTTTTTATTTATTTCTTTTTCTTTTCAAAGGAAAATATGTTCTCGCGATTTTCAAACGATCGCAATTTCGCAGAGAAACGTATGTCACACGTTTGAAAAATTCTTTTACTTTTAATTAAATTAAATTTTGTAATTTTCTTTTTGAAGGAAGATAAGTTCTCGCGATTTTCAAACGATCACAAATTCGCAGAGAAATGTGTGTCGCACGTGTGAAAAATTTTTTTACTTTTTATTAAATAAAATTTTGTAATTTTCTTTTTAATGGAGGATAAATTCTTGCGATTTTCAAACGATCGCAAATTCGCGAAGAAACGTGCGTTGCATATTCGAACGAGAAAAAAAAACAGAAAAAGAAAAAAAATTATATTTATGCCTATTTCACCTGTCTAGTACAAGTAGTTGCTACTTACGTAAATTCACAAGTCACTTCGATGCCTATCGACAATCGCAAATCGTTTTAGTTTACCTGTTGACGCGTTAACGTGCAGAAGGAAAGATGTCCGATTCGGAGAAGATTCCGTTGGCCCATGCCGCGGAACCGCAAACATATTACGTGAACGACACCTACCAATTTTATTCGCGTAGGAGAAAAATGGAACAACAAATGCAATGCCTTACCTTCATCGTTTCTCTGTGAGTCCGATCGATCAAATACCTTTACCATACAATTTCACAATTTCTCGTCGGATATTTTAGCGAATTCTAGTCGAATTGAAAGATCGAAATAATATATATATATATATATATATAAAGAAAAAACATATTTCATCGCGAATTTTAAATTTTCAAGATATTTCGAGAGACTTTTGTCGTTTTGTAAAAATTCACGACGATACGCGATCATTCATTTTGATCGAAACGCTTTGTTGTTTTCAAATGATAATAATTAATCGAGCAGATACCGGGAAATAGTCGAGAGCTTTGATTTAAAATGCATGTGTGATAATTAAAGCACGAACATAGTAGGTATATGACATTACGTTTATTACATGCCGTTAATATATTGGTATTCCATGTATCAAATTTGTTGTGTATCAAAGTTCGCGTTTCACGGTCCTGAATATAGATGATATAATTCTAAAATGGCGTAGATTCTGTGGAGTTTAAATGGACACATGAATACAGTACAGTATACAGTAATAATATATTATATTCAACGCATAACCTGGCATTGTATTTTAAGCGTAGGTCGATTCGTGTTACGTGACGTCGACCTTGATTACACGTGTAATCGAACGGCGAACGGGTACTACGCCGTTCGATCTCTCTTTCTCTTTCTCTTCCCCTCTCTCTATCTCTTTCTCTCTATTTCTCTCTCTCTCTCTCTTGTTCTCTGTTAATTGCAATTAAACGTACTTCAACACTTTGAGTTCCAATCGATTTGCATAACGTAAGGATAACGTCGCCCTCGGTCATTGATTACGTAACGACAACGTCCTGCTGAGTATAATTGGAACAAATCCGAAAACTAAGAACTCTCGACTGGACTTAAATCGAGAAAATCTGTAATTACCGAATAAATTTCGCGATTTCGATTGGTTTTTTTCTTTTTTTTTTTTCTTTCTATTATAGTGAACAAGAACAAGGGAAAGAAAGAGAGAAAGAGAGAGAGAGAGAGAGAGAGAGAGAGAGAGAGAGAGAGAGAGTGAACTTTAACTGAAAATATTTTTCTTATTCGATTTCGATCCATTGAATGAAAGAAAAAACAAATAAGAAAAAGAAAAAGGATATTAAATTAGGGATACACGAGAAATCACAAGTAATAATGGTTTTTCCTTTAATTATTTAATCATTCGTTCGAACTTTTCAGAGCAATATTCACGATAGCATTGGTCGTTACGATCAGTTATTCCGTGAGTCACAGTAATCAAACAGAAGATGGAACAACTAATCAGACATCTTCGAGTACTGACTCGTCTGAAACGAACGATGTTGCTAATTTAAAAGTGGGTCTAACTACGGGATTCGATTCGCATACTTTCTTCAGTACTACCAGTGCGAGTCATTTCGTTTACGGAGCAGATGATAATATTGATTTTTCATCAAAGCAGAATCTGAGCGAAACAGAGTTGAAGGAAGCTCTTACGGCTGGTCAACAGGCTGTACAATTGAGAGTTTCTGCTGATATTGCGGCATTATCTTCGCCTTTACCATCGCCATCACCAGAATCGAGACATCGATGGGCAGTCAGCACGGGTGTCAATGTCGGTGGTTTAGCTTTGGCTGCCATTGGCGAGATAGCCGCTACAAAGCAAATCGAAAGCGCGAGATCATTTTCAGGCAAACCGTCGGCGATCGGTTGTTTCTTTGATGGTGGTTGGGCACCGAAAGGTGTTTGTAGAGAATTTCTGAATGTGAATTGCACCATCGGCAAATACAGAAATTACGACGGGACCTGCAATCGCCCGAAGCAATGGGGTTCGGCTTTGATGCCGTTTAGAAGAGTCCTGCCACCAGATTACGCTGACAGAATCGATTCACCTCGAAGAGCACGTTCCGGAAATGAGTTACCCTCGGCAAGGGAGGTCAGTCTGAAGGTTCACAAGCCGTCGCCCAGTTCAAATCCTTCATTTACCGTGATGTTAGCCGTGTTCGGTCAGTTCCTCGATCACGATATCACAGCCACAGCGATCAGTCAGGGCGTCAATGGTAGTTCCATCTCGTGTTGTCCGCCTTCGATCGGGCATCCAGAATGTTTTCCCGTTTCCGTTGGATCGGGAGATCCAGTTTACGATATTACCGGGAAAACCTGCATGGAGTTCGTTCGTTCGGCACCGGCTCCTCAATGTAAAATTGGATCAAGAGAACAGCTTAATCAGGTAAACCTATTTATTTTCTTGTTTCCTTATTATCTGATCTTATGTTAGATGTGTAAAATAGTGAATCATTTCATTTTTAGGTTACCGCTTTTATCGATGGCTCGGCGATATATGGATCGGATTCACAAACCGCACAGAATCTACGAGAATTCTCTGGTGGACGATTGAGGATGCAAATAACGCCGGATAACAGAACTCTTCTACCGGCTAGTTTAAATCTCAATGACGGATGCAATAGAGAGGATGAACGTTTAAGGGGACGTTATTGTTTCCTCGCAGGAGATCCAAGAGCGAACGAGAATTTGCACTTGACGACTATGCATTTGATATGGGCAAGACAACATAATAAAATTGCTGATGGATTGGCCAATGTTAATCCTACTTGGTCGGACGAAAAGATCTATCAGGAAGCTCGTCGTATAATCGGTGCTCAACTTCAGCATATTACCTATGAAGAATTCGTTCCAATTATATTAGGTGAGCAGGAAACAAATCTTCGAGATTTGAGACCATTGACTTCGGGTTATAGAAAATGGAGCGAGAGTCCTGATGATCCAATCAATGATCCAACTATAGCCAATAGCTTTGCCGCAGCGGCTTTTAGATTTGCACATACTCTTCTGCCCGGTTTAATAATGATGACTAATGCCCAAAAAGGCACTTCGTCGTACATCGAACTTCACAGGATGCTTTTCAATCCTTATAGTCTATATTCGAGCGATGGCATTGGTAACTCGGTAATTTCGGCTACTAGAAATGTCATTCAAAGAACTTCAATTCACGTCACATCGCAATTAACGAGACATCTTTTCGAGGATCCGATTAACAACGTTTCAGTACCTTGCGGTCTCGATCTCGTATCGTTGAATATTCAACGTGGAAGGGATCACGGACTACCTGGTTATACTAAATGGAGAGAATATTGTAATTTGGGGAAACCCGAATCGTTCAGTGATCTGATCGATCACATGGATCCAGAAGCCCTCGATGCGATATCAAAGCTATACGAATCCGTTTACGATATTGATCTATATACTGGTGCATTGGCGGAAATACCGAAAACCGGTGGTATCGTTGGACCTACTTTCACGTGTTTAATTGCTGATCAGTTCGTTAGATTGCAGAAAGGAGATCGTTATTGGTACGAGGTACCTGATCAATCGTATTCATTTACCGAAGGTAAAATATTCTTTTAATATATTTTAACATGTTATAATATATTTTAAATTAAATTTTATCAAATGTTTTAAATCTTAATATTATGTATTTTAGAACAATTGCAAGAATTACGTAAGAGTTCCCTGGCGAGATTGTTGTGCGACTGTTCCGATCAAGTAACCCAAATTCAATTGAAAGTTATGCGATCGATCGGTGCCGATAATCCGGTGATATCCTGCGAGGATATACCACAATTGTCTCTTGAACTTTGGAAGGAAGATCGTCTAAACGTACCAATTCTAAAGACAGCTCCGTTTGTGGTGGATTGGTTAAATTTCAAGAAGACTTTGAACGATACTATTCAAGAAATAGTGACATTTATTAACGATACCAGAACCAATCTACCACCGGCCAGTCCCGATTGGGTTGCCTTTGGTAACGAACTAAACAATACATTTTCGGAGATTAGGAACCAACTTAACGGATTACATCCGAAAAAGGAACCAATGCAAATGACGACTTACAACGACGGGAATTTTACATTACGAGCTGCTCCTGGAGCAGCCATGTTCAATAATTGGATAAATTTCAAAATTGAACTCATCAAGACGTTGAACGATACCATTGGCGGATTTGGAGGTATTCCACCGATTACTGCCGATTGGATCGATTTGAGAACGAAGATCAAGAATCAGACGTCCGATTTAATATCCCAAATTATTTCTGCAAAAATGGATCTCTTTTCTAAGCTTCCAATGAAAAATAATAAAACGGCTGAGATGATTAATGCAAGTAAAGAAAGTATCGCTGCAATTTTTGATTGGAAAAATTTCAAAGGCGACGTAATCAATTCTCTCGACGATGCTATCATGAATATTGCTACTAATATGCCTGGACCTGGTGATCCAGCTTGGGCCACGTTTGGAGATGACATTAAAGCTCATTTCAATGCTCTTCGCGATAAGATTATCGCTGACACGTCAACTGTACCAACAGAGTTAGCTGCAGGAACAGAGGATACGATGACTGACTGGATGTCCATTAAAAGCGATATCTTAAATACAGTATCGAATACCGTACAGAATATAGAAGCCGGTATGCCACCTCCTGGTGATTCCATAGCTTGGTTAGCTTATAGAGATAAAATTATGAAAAGTTTTGCTACATTCAATAGTAAATTTCCTGCGAACAATAAAGCTTTTCTAAAGAATCCATCTCCTTATACAAACATGCCGTTTGAAGGTGCACAAGCCGATATTTCGGGAAAATCAAAAGACAATCCTATGACAATGCAACTTGTAAATTTAACGAACGATTGGCTTGATTTTCAAAATAAAATAAACGCTTCTGTCGCACAGATAATCACAGATATTAAAAGCAAAGATCTAAAGACGATAGATCCTATTGGTTGGATCATTTTTTGCAATACTTTCAAGAGCAAATTTGCAGAGTTGAAAGACGAAATTGTTGGTATAAAAGCCGAATGGGCTGATTTCTTTAGTATGGGTGAAAACAATATCGTCAAGTCACCTACGTTTAATCTCAAAGAAACCACTAAGGCTTGGAAAGCCTCGTCTACTCTTTACAATACCGTCAAAGCTGCTACTTTTACAAAGCCAACGGTCTGGCCACCAACGATCATTCCAGCGGCCGACTGGATAACTTTTAAAAACGATATTAACGACACGATAATGAATTTTTTAAACACCGTTAATACAACGAACGCTGATTGGTCCAGTATCAACGATATGTACGTGAAATCATTCGATGATTTGAAAAATGAGATCGTAGCTTTAAAAGGATTAATCACGGACAATATCACGAATTCTATTGCTGCCGCTGATTGGAGTAAATTTCATACGCAGTTGAACGCCACTGTGAACGATCTTATTCAAAATTTGAAGAACCAAACACAGGCAAACATTATGGAAATAATAAAGGTATTGTTCGATGCCAAAGATAAATTCTCTATTCTCGAGCCACCGATTTTGCCTTTGGCCATTTCCGAAACGGATAATTGGGCTTCATATTTTGTCGATCTTAATAAAACGGTCGACAACGCTTTGAAGAATATTGGTGATTTAAAGCGTCCCGCGGCGACAGTCAAAGCAGATGAGCCCGCCTCATCATCTTCTAATATCATCAAAGTTTCAAGTTTCACGAGTCGCCTAAGTTTCGCTATTGTCTTTAGCTTGTTCAATATTATCTCGTCTTATACGTTTCATGTTAAAATAGAGAGATACGAATAATTACTAGGTTTTAATAAGATCATTCAATGGATTTATTATTATTTTTTATAAGTAAACGGATTCTTACAAACTAATCAATAATCAAATCGACACTTTAAATAGGCTTATTAAATTATTAAGGAAGTAATACATACATTTTTTATACTATAAGAAATTATCATTGATAATATTATCTTGAGTATTGTTAACGCAATTAAACGTAACAATCGAACAAAATTAAACGGCCAGACTAAGAAGAAGAGCTGTACCACGTGTTACCCATAAATCAGCAACCTCCGATCCAGTTTTTAAATCGACAGTCACGACGAAAGCGGGACGATTTTGATCACCGGATCTTTGAGGATAATAATACGTCGGACAATTGTATAATCCTATCAGAAGGGACGTATGATCGATAATAATGGTTTAAAGTATAAATCGTCAAAGAGATTTAAAAAAGAGATTGTCGATTATTTTTTACCTTTAGTTTTTCTGAAACGTTCGGTAGGTTTAAAGTGTATCACGGGCATGTCGTAAACAAGCTGCATCGGTGCTGGTTCAACGAGTGTCGCATTTTTCTTGTCCCATCCTGCTCCTTCCAAGAACATTGATCGCACGTACACTCCATCCTGTCATAATAAAGGCACTTCTTTTTTTCTGTTCCTTTTTTCTTTTTCTTTTTTTTTTGTTTTTTTTTTGTTTTTTTTTTGTTTTTTTTTTCAGTCATTCGCGCGATCGTTTTATATTAAAAATTGCATATATATCAAATATTCGGAGAAGAGAAATGGCAATCAATTTACCGATCCCTCGATAGCATACGATATAGTTATCGATTAATGACGGAATCGTACGATTTGATATACGGAAACGTTCAATCAAATAGAAACAACGAGGCTGACGTTGAAAAAAAATAAATTGTTTCGTTTTGTTTCCCCTTTTTTTCTTTCTTCCTTTTTTTTTCCTTTTTTTTTGGATTTCCCCTACCACCCCCCACCCCCGGGCCTCGGTTCTCTCGTCGTTGAGTATACGTGCGTTAATCATTTTATGCGATAGGCATCGTTCTATAGTGAACGAAAATCAATTTAAGCGCTTTCGATGATGGCAATGATAAAAGTATAAATGGATGTATAAAAATGTTCGTTATTGTTTGTTCGTTTTTTTTTTTTTAGATCTCACTAATCGTTGATTGCAATCGAAAGGAATGCATAAAATGGAATTCTAACATTAATAAATTAACGTTCGATTTATCATTATTTGTTATCTCTTGTCATCATAATTTACCGTAGGTGATTCGATGATGGCAGAATCATCGATCGTCTGAACTATGAATTCCCAAGTTAACGAATCAATCGATATATTCCACATTCTTGCCGAAGTTTGCAATACGGCTGTGAGGAAACCTGTTGGAAACGTAAACGCGGCTAGCCAGAAGAGCACAGGCGGATGTGTGGTCTCAGCCCAAGTAGCGAAATGCTCAATGCGGCTGATCAAATCTCTGGTCCAAGCTCCGAGAAGCTTCAAGGATGGATAAGCGGTCAGCCAAAGGGAGGGAACTCTGCCTTCGTATATGCATGTAAAAATCTCTTCCAAGTCGGACGACATCAAGACCAAACCGCGTATACCACGTTGTAACTCATTCAAACTGCTTCGAGTTTTCGTTAAGAGTACATTATAGCGACCTATTTCTTGAAGAAGTACGACATCGAGAGGTTTCTTGATTGGCCCTATCAATCTATCGATTGTTTCATAATCTATGTTCTTTGGTATTTTTGATATAACATCCATGGTTAATTGTATCACCTTGAAAAAAGGAAGAAGAAAAAGAAAAAAAAAAAAAAAGAATGATAAACATTATTTTTTTTCATATTTGCAAGATAAACGTATTTTTAAATAGATAAACCTTTTCCTCCTTGTTCGTTTCCTCTTCGCTGGTAATCGCTTGAACTTGAAGACTCATTAAGGTTTTGCATATATTTCTCGTTTCCATAATAAGACTGGTTATATCTGCGTTAGGATGTTGTCCAAATGCTTCTGGTCTATCGACGGTCGGTAACGTCATAATAATGTCACGATAGAATTCCAAGGAGCCGTCTCGTGGTACGTAATATGTCGGGAGTGATGACAAACGATAATAAGGGATAGTCAGAACTTCGTCGGTGAAATATTGTTGGACATATGTCATCAACAACCGACGATCCCAGTCATCGGTCACGTGACCGCCATAACAAACACCCGCAATAAGATATTTCAAGGATTCCCATGGTGTATCTGGGTATTCGTCCAAATACACCTGAAGAAGATTCTCCGATACCTGTATGATCGAATGCATAATATATTATACTCTTTTTTTTTTTCATATAATTTTTCATCGTTCTTTCTTATATCTTTTAAATTAACCTCAAAGTCGGAATCGTTGAAGCTGTAAATGACATTCCAACCAAGTTGCTGGAACTTCTTTCGTTCAAGGAGAATCGAATGAAAGAAGACAAGAACGAAGAGGAGCTTCTTATACTTGGATTTCGCTTGACACACATCGAATTGGGCCTCTGTAACGAGACTATACAGTCGCTTCATATTGGCTTTCAATCCTTTAGGTGGTTCCGTCGTCATTTTTATCCCAGCTTGGAGGATCGATATCGGAAACTCAGGAGTTGGACTCGAACTAAGCCATAATCTATGAAACGATCGATACCCTTCTTTATCGATTCTCCCATCTCCCATTTACTTTGATATCGTCGTTAGGAAATACCTAAAGTTCGGATTCAAAGCTTTGTTATTGATAAGGGTCTCGACGATCTTGTCCAATTTCGGCATCCAGCTGAGCGATAAGTGGCAATTCGCTAAGAAAACCCATAATCCCTTTTTTGCACCAATTTGTATCATTCTGAAGATAAAAGTTAACATTATAGAATTAACGAATAATAATAATAATATTAAAAACAAACTTAGTTGCTACAGGTGCCTGTCCTTGACCCAAGGATAGACTCATAAATTTGTCCATCATTTGTTGGTTTTCTGCGAGTTGCATTAATATGCTCGTGGGATCTACACCAGGTGAAAGGACAAAAATCAAGGGTGTCTGAGCAATGGAATCGTCCAACACTGCTTTTAAGTCGAGTACCGGTGGTTCGACAAATTTCTGATCTACATTTCGTATGATAAAGTTTGCAATTGCGGAAGACATTCTGTCGGGTCGACAACTACGTATAATCATCATTCTTTGAAATGCTGTACAGCCCTCTTCCAATTCGCCAACGAGTGAAGTATTTTCCGGTTCCGTACTAATATACCTGATTGCGAATAGTCGAAAAATAAGATAGAATGAACAATGTAAAGGGAGTAGGGAGAGAGAGAGAGAGAGAGAGAATTTTATTAAATTAATAAAGAGCCAACCAATTGTGCCAATCCCGCGAGTATTGTTCGAAGGACGAAATCAAACCGTGAAATCCTGGAAGTTTGTCGAGTTCCGTTATATTGTCCCAAGTTTCCGGAGGCAACCAAGGTACAGGCTTGTCCGGTTGATTCTCTCGATCCAGAACGATCCCACCTCTAAGAAGAAACGCATATTCCCAAGAGATTATCCTTCCTTCAGCGTTTAATATCTTAACGCACATATTGAAGGAAAATAATAGTTTGTGTTTTTCGAATAATCCTCGACAGGTATTTCTGTTAATATACATTGAAATTAATATAAATATCTTTCTTTTTTTTTTTTTATGTCGATCATCATTACAAATAAAGTTACTTGTATAGAGCGTAAGTATGATAATCATTAAGTTTCTCAATTCTATCGACAAGTTTTGTGCTCTTTGGACTTTTGTCAATGGACAACATGAACAGGGCGATGTATGAGTCAAGAGAAAATTGATACATCGGATCGATCAGACTCATATCTGTGAGAACGAAGAAAAGTATCGAAGCTCGTCGAGAACATGATCTATAATCTTCCCTCGCTATGTCTATCTCTCGTTCAGTTTCTTCTGACGTCACTAACGATTCAGCTATGGATATCGATGTAGCCTTAGACGTTTGTAGAGTGTTGAGAAGGTCCAGGTCGTCGAGAAGGTTAGGTCCAGCCTCGCTCAGCAGACTATAAAAGGGATATCGCATGTTCTAGTCATCGAGAATTCCAGACATGATTCGCCTAATCGACGCTCTGGGAGCATTTACGAGGGAAATTCGTTTAGGATAAGATCTTTAGAACGTTTCGTTATTCAGCTTGGTCGTCTCTTATCGATTATGTCGATGATAATAGTTCGAGATTTTGATGCCAAATATCTTCAGAATAATTCTCTTACTAACTTTTCTTACAATTGGTTAGTTTTTGCTAAGATGAAAAGTTTACAAACGAACTGACAAAAATAATATAGCGAAAAGGAAAAGTTATCAGAATAAAATGAAGATTTGGAAGAAGACAAAAAAAGAATATAAACAAAAGGAAGGACTGTTGAGAATTTTGTGGAAAAGAAAATTCTGTGACAAATTGTAGTGTATAAAATACCAGAGAGAGAGAGAGAAAGAGAGAGAGAAAGAGAGAGAAAGAGAGAGAGAGAGAGAAAAGAGAGAGAGAGAGAGAGAGAGAGAGAGAGAGAGAGAGAGAAAGAGGGAAAGAAATCAGAACAAAATGAAGGTTATAAAAAGACAAGAGAAATGTAAACAAAAGAAATGATAAAAGTGTAGAAAAACAATTCGGTGAATGGAAGATCTCACTAGAGAATTCTATCCTCCAGTTCCTTCAACGTCCGCTTGCCGGATGCGATCGTGAGGACGAGACTGTCCTTTTGTTCTTCAAGTTGCGGCTTCTCTTTCCTGACCACGATTCCCAAGAGTTGTGCCTCTAATCCTGCAAGTGTGGCAAAGGTGTGGTAAAGGGAAATGTCCGAGTCGTTGTTCTCACTCACTTGCATCAACGAGTCTCTTTCTCCTTCTCCTTCCCTTTCTCTCTCTCTCTCTCTTTCTCCTTCTCCTTCCCTCTCTCTCTCTCTCTCTCTCTCTTTCTCTTTCTCTTTCTCTCTATATACAGCTTTCACGCACACACGTGCACAAGTATATACTATGGCTCTCGATCTCTCTATTTCGGTGGTATACGCTAAGATAATTAGTTACCTTGTTCCTTAATGGCGAAGTTGCATAACGTCGTTTTAGTGGATATCTCCGGAGCGTAATGGGGGTTCGAAAGTTTCGTTGTGATGAACAGTCGAAATTTGGCATTGAAAGTGATCATCTTATCGTTAAACTTGATCATCACTTGATCACCTGTGTTGCGTATATAAACATAAACGTGATTATTTTAACACATACATATTTACATGTATGTATATTTACATTTTATATTAGATATTTAGATACAGCTGAATGCGTTTATATCTCGTGCGTTTCAAAGAGAAATGGGAACAAAGCGACGTGAAGTATTGTTCGGGTCGAATTAATTTCTAGCGTACTGAGCGTAACGCGATAGGAAATATCAAATTGCGATTTGTTCGATAGGTAAAACGATAAAGAATTCGTAGAAGAGAGATAACAATAGTGAATGAAGTGGGAGGTAGTCGGATGGGAGTGGTAGGGGGGTGGGGAGGGAGGCTTTGACGTTTACCTGATTTGATAAAAGCTCTTTCCAGAATCGGATTCAGGGCTGGATCGAGAGTTTCTCCAACGTTCTCGAGCAAAACCGGCCAGCCAAACTGCAGTGCTTGTTCCAAAACTCTCATAAAGTCCGCTTGGCCAAAATCGATTACTCGCAGAGACTGCAATAACATTTGGTAAAGACAAGGCGAAAAGTCACGTTCCATGGACGTTGCCTCACGGTCTTTGGAAAACGCGGTAAAGTGCGAAACTTTTCTCGAAAAACTCAGGAGTAGTATTACGAAGAGAAAGGAGCGAAAAAAAGAAAGTATCTATCTATCTGTCTGTATGTATGTATGTATGTATGTATGTATGTCTATCTATCTATCTGTCTGTCTGTTGGCAGACAGACTTTTCGGGGAATAGAAAGAAAAGAATAAAGGAGAATAGTACATACATTCTTTGCCTCCATGTTCTTGATCCACTTCACCGCTTGACATTGTGGATCGATTACGAGTGGCCATCTAGTGCCTCTCGTCACGATGATACCGTTCTCGGTACTAAACCCATCCGAAGGTAATCCCTGAATGTTCCACTCTCTGATCGTCGTGGGATCAGCTAGAAATTCCTTCACGTCGAGTCTAGGCGACATCGGGATTTCCTTCTCGTTTACCTTCGCGCGTTTCAATCATGCCCCGTTGTAATTTGAATAATCTCCGTGTAATTTACTTTCTAATGAGAGCGAGCTTCAACGTGTCGCCAACGTAGAATCTTAGTACTCGTGCCTCACCTCTTTCATCCAAATCGTGAATAGTTCGTCCCTGTAATTCGACACGAAAGGTCCCAAGTAAGACACGAAGGCCGTTGATATTAGACAGTCACCGGGTAACCAGTCGAAGAATTCTCCCAATGATTCTACCGTTTCCAACCATCGAATCCTTTCTCCTGACAGACCTTCGACCAGCATAGCCGCGCGATCTAATTTAACCTTCAACAACTCTGCCTGTCAATAGGAAGAATATCCTGTGTGAAATCTAAGCGTTTCATAAGAAATTAAATTAATAAGATAAAAAAGAAAAGAGATTTCCGCTTCCATCTCTTGCTTTATGAAGCATGCGTAAGATAGATAGATAGATAAGGATAGAGAGAGAGAGAGAGAGAGAGAGAGAGAGAGATAGAGAGAGAAAGTATTCCCTTGCCATTTTGATTAAATCCTGCTTTTCTTTCATCTTCGCGTCGTACATTTTCTGCAACGTTTCGAGATCCTCCTGTATCTTTTGCAGTTGCATCGTAGCCTCCGTCAAAGCAGCTTCCTTTTGCCGCAAAGATTCCAAGGCGGCCTCGAGTTTCTCTCTTTTCGGCGCTACGATCCTAGAGAGAATAATTTTACAGGATTATTTTTATAGAGAAGCATCGATCGTGCTTCCTCTTATCTTTTTTTTAGTCAATCTAATGTAAGTACAAATGTAACTAGATAAATATATGCCATACCTATAGAGCTTTCCATATTTTTCCATGGCTATGACCCACATGCAAAGCGACTTGGCGGCGACCGAGACAACGCCTACTTTTACAGGATCGAATTCCGGATTGGTCGTATATTTTCCAATAGCTCTCAATACTCTATCCGATATATGATCCTTGTTGAAATCGCGTAGCTAAAAAGTTAAAAGAGATAATATATCGTGATCGTCGTTCGAAAAAGTATATAGCTAGAAAGAAAAGATTCGAGGAAGGATTCGGTACGGTGTTAATGAAGTTCACGTCTCCCAGCTGACGCTTGGATTCCGCCCAGGTTGGTTCTGAGTTCTTTAGAATCATAACTGCCTCCATTACCATTTCGACCTTTGGTGGTGGTCGAGCGAAGGACTTTATTTCCGCCAGATCTTTCTTGTTCAACGCTTCCAACGCCTGAAAAGATAAACCCGTGATTTTATCTTCCACGCATGCCAGTTATTAAAACCAGCTCCTGTAATTCCAATTTCTCCACTGAGCGTAGACAACCCATTCAAAGGCATTTCAGAATATGTTTACATAATCTCGGACGATAGCATTTCGATTAGCGTACTCTCATGCATCTATGTATTTTAATCCCTTTCATACACATATATATACGCGCTAGATTGCAATATATCAGGCCTATGCAGTCAAATGATGTCTAACGAATCGCTTGTACCGTGAAATTGTACGAGGTATTAAACGAGAAAAGGATACTTGCTTTCATAGCTTCGTTCAAAGCTGGCTCGACAGTGGCCAAATCGGCACGTGCTATCTCTTCGAGCTTCTTGCATTCTTTCTGTTCTTCGGCAATTCTAAGGGATTTTGCTGTGACCATTTTTTGAGCATCATCGGCGTCACGACGTTGATTAACTGAAAAATAATGTGTCATTGAATAAATATTAAGAAAAAATGTTCGATGCTTGAAATAATTTTATAGATTTAATTTCATATTTACGATGCCAAAATGAAATTTTTCTTAAACAAATTTACGAAATAAATCATCCAACGAAATGAAAAAATAATTTCGAGAAAAGTGAATAGATATAGTCGAACGATTTTGTAAGATGTTTTAAAAGATTTCAATAGAAGGATTATAAAAAATATTACGTTTAACGTTTTCAATCGATCAATACATTTTAATGACAAAATTCATGTCACATATATTAATACGATTAAATAAATTTATTACAATAAAGATAATCAAAGACATCGATGGAATTACCTATTGTTACCAAGAATTCCTCGCATTCTCTAGTAGATGTCTGCACCTGTTCTTGCGTTATCTCCAACTCAGCGGCCATTTCATTGACCTTTGCCTGAGTATCGTCGATCTTGAAGATCCCACCTCGAAGTTTATTCGCTTGATCGGCCAAATTCTGTCTCTTTTTATTCATCATACTATGTGTGTAGGATAAAAAGGAACAAAAAAAAACAAACAAAAAAAAAAGAAAACTCATAATAAAACTGTGAAATGCTTGATTCATCGTAGCTAGTTGTAATTTAAAATTCTATCTCACTCTTTGTAACCAAAGACCAATTCAAGAAAGTTCGTAGGCGTGACATAATTATATCGTTTCATTTCATTTGCCATACGAATGGAAAATCGCGAGACCATGCTATGGATCGAAGCAAATGTTGACGCGATTCCGTTTCGCATTCGTTCTTGTAATGGTAAAATCGGAATGGCTGTGGCGGATTGTCTTGGTTCCTAATATAACGAGATATTTATATATAATTTATATTATAGAAATTATTAATGTTTTCATATATATTTTTCTTTTTCTTATCGAATATTGTAACTAGAAAACGAAAAGAAAAAGAATGAAAATTAATAAAGAGAAAGTATAGAGTTTGTGACTATTAATAAGGAAGGTCATAAAGAAGATCCTCGATATCGAAAGCAACCGATAAGAAAATGACGATGGGAGATGCGACGTGCCAAAGCGTCGTATCGTTCACGAACGAGAGAAACTATAAAGGGGAAAATAATCGGATTCTACGAAATGGTTGCGGAAACTCTCGCTACGGCCGATGAGAAGCAAGAGAAAGCGAGCTAGAGTGGATAGGAGGGTGAAAAGGAAGAGGGCAAGGGAGGAGAAAGAGAGGGGCGTCGATTTCTAGAATCGAATCTAGTCGAGTCGAATCGATCGGCTGGAAAAGGAGGAAAGAAGGAAGAAAGGGAAGAGGAGAAAGAGGAAAAGGAAGAGGAGAAGAAGGAGGAGGAGGAGGAGAAGGAGGAGGAAGAGAACTGCAGGCGGAACTCGCGAGACCCACCACTTTATTTTCGCCGGTGATAGTGAGCGTCAGATTGAGATTCATGAGGAACTTGTTGCCAACTTCGAGAAGAGCTTCCTTCGGCCATTCCAGAAACCAATCGATGGTCGTGCAATTGATCAGGGATGGGTATTGCCGTAATCTGTTCCTGAAGGCGTCCCCGATCGGACTCATGCACAATATCACGTGCATATTGGCGCGAACCCTTTCGATCAGGAAGGAATAGATCGATTCTACCGTTGGTATTATGCCGATCTTCGTAGCTTCTTTCATTAAACGATTTTTAATCTAACAATATGGAAGAGGATTTATATGAGTTTATTATTTCGAAAATGTTCTTATTGAAGAAACGAAAGATAATCCTCGATGATTTCATTCTATGCAAATTTGAGCGAACGAGTAATAGCTAAGAATACTAGTTCATTCTTTGCTATCTCGTGATTTTCTTTTTTTTTCCCCCAATAGAAAAGATATTTCTTTTTAACGATCATGATTATGTTAAGGTAAAGGTAGTTTTATAGTGTTTACATTGATCGTATGGATACTTACGTCTTCCATTTCATCGATTTTGTAGAGATTGGCTACTTCACCGGTGCTCAGCATATTGTTAACTATCTCGAGAAACTGTTCCTCCGCCACTTGGGTATCATTGAAGAGAAAACTAGTCGGCTTATTCTCAACTCCTGCCATCGAGTAAAGCTTTTTCAGGTCCTCGCGGAATTCCATCACTCTGTATTGTTTCGTAACGACGATTTGAAAGGTGGTCAACTCGCACATGTAAGCTGCGATACGGGATACTGATTGTCTGCCACTACCTCCTATACCAACTAGTAACATGTTGCCTCGGGGCTATACAATTGTGGGATAACGATTGTCTTGAATTTCAGAAATCGATTAGACGATAGAATGAATTTGAATGATAACACCTCGAAGACGGATTTTTACATTTTACATTCATTTAGGATAGTTTATAGTAAAGTAAACATTTGGAGGATGAAACATTTACTTTGTAGTCTTTGAGCCATTACAAACTTCTGACATGGGGATTAGTGTAGAAAGCAGACAGTCTTCCTCGGAATTTCCATTTAGTTTCCTATTCATCGATCATCGTTGAAAGGAAATAATGTCTTACGACGTATTTATTAAAGATCTCTCTCTCTCTCTCTCTCTCTCTCTCTCTCTCCTATATTATAATCGCCCTAGTACACGCGATTATATTTTATGTTATAATAGTTAATAATAATTAATCAATGCAATTTCAATGGAAACTTTCGCAAATGTAACTTTCAAGTTATTTATATAAAAATTATTTGATTAACGATTTGAAAGGATTTACGAGTGTTTCACGATACTTTCAATTGTATAAATAAAATAAAAAAGGTTACATTGTATGGCGCGTTTGAGATAAACGTCTGCTTTCTTCAGTAAGAAAGAAGAAAAGGCACGTAGTATGGAATGGTTGTGATGCCCGTATTATATCATACCTGGTGCTCACGAATCACTGACCTGAGATATCACACGGACAATGCGGCATATATGCTCGACCGCATCCTGAAAAAGAATGAGATCGAGGCGTACTACACCAGTAGAAGCGTTATATTCGTCCATTTGTTCCTCTATATGGCGTCTCACGGCGGCGATATCCACGAGATCCTCGTATATGTTCCAGGCATTCATAAAGTTACCTGCGCTCATGTATTTTCTTTAGATAGTCTTTTTATAGCTTCATCGTTGCATTACGTATTACGATTCTAATTCAACGTTATGTTAACATATGCAATGATCTTTTATCTCTTTCTCGGAAACAATTAATTCATCGAGGAGTGAATGCATTAGCTTAATTAAGATAATTTTGAATCTTTCGTTCAAAGATTTCGTTGGATGCTTACCGAAAAGAGGAATCGTTTTATCCGGACATACGCTTGTTATTGTTAGCTCGAAATATTTACCAAGTAGTTCACCTATCTGTCCAAGGAACCATTCAGTATCTCTAAAAAAGAAAAAGAAAGGAAATAATGATTAGATAAAATTAGAAATGTTTATTATTCTTTTTTATTCCATTTACTTCTCGTCGATGAAACGATCGCAAAAAACACGATAAGTTTCATGCATCCACAAACGTAGAAATGTATGAATCGAATATTGATGATCCTTGTGACTTCGAAGCAATCCTTGAAATATCTATTAGAGTAAATACGATTGAAATTTTTTTTATTAATTTTTCAAAAATTCACATTTATATTCACAAAGTTTACCTTCGATATATCACGCAAATTGAAGATATAATGCATCTTGGCGGGTGTTGGTAACATTTTTAATACAACGCGATTATATAAAGTTATAGTGGCAATCGTTATTGTATCGGCTGAAAGAAAAATCAAGTTGAATTCGTAATTGCGAATAGAAATGATTTATCATCTTACCAATTCCCTTCACTTCCGAAGAAAAGTCTGCGATTTGTTGATTAAGCATCGTCCCGTATATTCGAATGATTTGTTTTTCACTGGGAAACGTCATATTAATGATATTAAATCTCGTAAGTAATCGATTCGAGATTATGTTACGACCACCACCAGGTGGACCCATTGCTGCTATTAATTGTATCTTTTGTATATATTTTTTCTGTTGATTCTGTCGATCGTACCTATTGGAAAGATTATCAACGCTTAATCGGTTCGTTACATAAATTTTAATATTCAGATGGGTCATTCGAATTCTCCTGGCAAATTCGTGAAAAGTGGAAGAGAGAATTCATACTCTCAAGAAAAAGTACATTTCGCCGCTTTTCTACGAACTCTTTGATTTACCACCTCTCGAAGTCGATCGGCGAACAGATCGGCTTCCCAACGGACTTTGGTAAAACTTTTTGATTTACCAGAATCCATAGTCGATCCACTGACGGATCAGTTCCAATGGTGGCTGTGCTCCGTACGTCTCTTTCATCGGCATGTTAAAGTCGTCCATAAAAGTTATCATCGTTTTATTGCCGACGGGAATGTAAACCGCTTTCGTGCGTTTCTCCAGTCTGCTCTCAATAGCTTCCTATACGTATAGAAAACTCGTCGTTGAATGTACCTTTTCATTGTTTCCGACGCCCATGAAAAATCTTTCGATATCATCAAAAGATATCATTAAAATTACCTGTACGTTATTCGATGTTGTTTGAGCAGACATATTTATAACGAGTAATCCATATTTGATATTATCCATGGATTCTAAAGCTGATCGTGCAATTGAGCTTTTTCCAGTGCCTACAGGACCAACCAGAAGGACGGGATAACCATTGATTAACAGATTGCTTACGATGTAATTGTAACGAACAGTGTCCACCGTCGGTACAATTATATTGTGAAATGGTGTCCTAAGGAAGAAAAGATCTTACTTTTTTTTTTTTTTCTTTTTTGGATTCGTTAAAGGAGAGGTAAAAGAAAGAAATTAAATTAAAAAAAAAGAAAAAAAAAGAAAAAAAAAGAAAAAGAAAAAGAAAAGATTGGTCTCGTAGGATAAAAAAGAAATTGTTCGAAGTAAATTTAAAGCCTTTTGTTCTTACCCCGGTTGAAACCTCCAGGCATGAGATAATTTTTCTTCCCACGAAACGAAACTACGCTGACGCACGTCTACGTAATATTCGTAGATGGTATCTCTCAAGGGAAATGATCCTTCTAATTCTCTTATGAAATTGTCCATCTTTTGACGGCCCTCTTCATCAACTGAGGCACACAATGACCATATCATGCTGTAATACCAATAGGAAATTTATTCCTTCGAAATGAATTATATAGCACTTAAAGCGGTTCACAGTTAAACCGATCATCCATGATCAATGGTGAAAGAGGTATTCGTTGGTAATCCGACATACGTTTGGCGATTCAAAAGGAAATTGCAATTAATGGGACGAGAGAAAGCTGTAAATTCAAAATGGATAGTATCCAAAAAGCCGACAAGTATACGTAAGTATAGTTTTCTTATTGCGATTGCATCGTTCGAAAGAAAAAGAAAAAGGAAGGTGCAATCCGGCGAATGTGGAATATCGTTTAGATGCAAGAAGAATCAAGAAATTTATGGAAGAAACTCGAATCAGCCGCTAGAACGGTACAATTGATATTTTGGATGGTGTTAGTCGGAAAAAGTAGTTTACCAGAAGAGAAACCAGATCTTGCAAATGGTGGAGAACGCCTCTTCGTCGTTGCCAACTTCGGCGCTGGTCTTGGGTCTGGCGAGCACATCGAGAAGCTTACAGAGGGACTGAATGGAATTTAATTCAGGAACTGGCACGAGTTCCTCGCACTTGTGATGCTTAAATTCCAACGTTATGTCGATGAAACGATCGAAGAGTTCTTTCATCTGATAAGTTCATTTGTATTAAGCTATAATTATTTATTTGTTCCTTTTTTTTTTTCTTTTCATTTTTAATCAGAGAAATATCCTTTACATGTTCAACGAAGACAGGTTCCTTCTCGTGACTCTGTAACCAAGATTTAACGAGAGGACGCCAACCAAGATCCTTGTAATCGTTATAAACCATACCTGCCCTAGAAACGGTGGCAGGAGAGGCAACACAGAGATCCTGAACCTCGAACAACAAGGACACTTGTTTCGGCATCGTGATTCGCTCGTTATTGATCAGCGTCAAGATCTATGTATATATGTATGTATGTATGCGCCAACGAAAATTTCACGATAGTAGAAGGAAACGATATTTAACGTACGAGCAGATAATAACTTCGTTTTGAATAAGCCGAGGGAAACCTACTTTGTTATCGTCCATAACACTGTTCATATTTTCGATCCACACGGCATCGACAGGCCCGTCAAAGAGAATCCACTTTTCGTCGGGCGACTCGCCTGTAACGATAATAAAGTATGATTCACTTTTGTTTGAATTTTTTTCTTTCTTCTTCTTCTTTCTTTTTTCTGTGTGTGTGTATGTGTGTGTGTGTTTTTTTTTCTTTTTTTCTTTTAAATCGTCGAAAATATGTTTCTCGTCGATCTTTTTGGTTTTTTCAATGTCTTCCGTCCCTTCGATTTTTATTATATTATTTAAACAAATGGGATTAATCACGCGATGACATCGTAATGGCCTAACGTAAAAATGACCCTCTTTGTTAGAAGTTCAATTCGAGAAGAGATAAAAGCATTTTACTGGAGCAGGTCTTCCGCATGATCGACGATATTACTCCATCAAGCCACTCTCCGGTCGAGAGATTGTATTCGCCATAGAGCTCGCTGAGGTTCAATGCTTTAGGATTAATTGGATAGACATGAACGGCGTTGTAACCCGGTTTTTCATCGTTCTTCATTCCGCTCATCGTATTTTGCAATATTTTCCATGTGACCGTCTTCGCAGTGTTTGATTCACCGACAATCATCGTCGAATGTCTCGAATTTTTCGTCTCGTAAAGTTGAATCACTTTTGTGATTATCAAAGGAATCGGCTACGAACGAGGTCCATTTTATTTGAATTGGAGAGAATAAAATCATATAGAAATAAAATAGATATTCTATCAACAAGGAATTACTTGTAGCTTTAACTTGATAGCCTCTTTAGTAATATAACCAATGATTTCCTCGTAATCTACGGTTGGCACGTCTACGGTAGGAAATAGATCGGTGGTGATTCCAAGGAAGAGAGGCAGATCGTTGGACGTAAGTTTCGCCACGTTCATGTCTTTCATCGCAAGAATGATCACCTGCATTTCGATGAGATATTCGTTATCGGTTCGTTCGAAATCATCCCCGAAACGACGTCGTAAATTATAAGAAATGAAAACGATCGAACATGGGATAATATTTTATTGCAATTTTTATTTTTATTATTTCCATTTCTCGTTTACTCGCCTCGTCGTCAGCTAAATTCGGATGAAGACGTTTCTTCCAGCCGGCGTATCGAGTCAAAGTCACTATACCTCTTAATCCAAAATCATAGTGATATTGTTTGCTCAATTGTTGTTGTGCCAATGTATACAAGGTAAAGACCTATAATATATATTTTTAAGCATTTATAATTTTGAAGCATTTCACAATTTTGATTATAAATTAATCCGAAGTGAAGTTGGACCGATAATAACCTTCCGAGCAAGTATGCGAGTTTCCTGAAATCCTTCTCCAAATAAATTGATCTCGGCGATCATGCTGCTGTCTGGTACCATCATCGAGATCGGTCTGAACATGGATTTCAAATTATCTGGAAGTTCTGTACGACCCGCGTACCCGGGATTCATCGTGATGAAGATACCACAGGTACTAATCAACCTTATCTCTTTGCTCTCGAAAACGAATCTCTGAAGTTTCTGAGAGACTGCGGTTAGTATTGATAATATCTGTTGCGCCACGACGGATAATACTTCGATATTGATTCTGTTCAATGAGAAGATCCATCGTCGAAAAAAAAATGTTATAAATAAAAAATAAAATTTTATTGAAGTTGATTCGTTCGATTTACCTGTTAAATTCATCGAAACAACCCCAAGCACCTGTCTGAGCTAAACCCGAGAACATTCTTCCCATGCTTATGTAATCTAGCCCTTCTGAGCAATTCTGCACGATCACATTGAATCCCAATGCCTTTCCAAGATCCTTAACTGTCTCGGTTTTCCCTGTTCCAGCTGGGCCCTTAGGGCTTCCCCCTCGATACAAATGAAGCGCCGTCGTCAGAGTAATGTAACATCTGTCAATGAACAAAGAGAATAGCATTGCAATAGGCTAACGGGAAGTAATAAATATAACTGATAAAATCAATGAACAGTATTTTATCTTAAATTCGAAGAAATATTTGATATAGAACGGTTTGACGGATTACGTCGAAATAATCAAAGATGAGAATTGAAGAGATAAAGTGAGTGGTATTAAGAATAATTTCGTACGATTTTACGTAAGCACGAAACGTTCGTAAAAATATAATAGCTTTTTGGAAAAATAATGAAAAAAAATAAGAAACTGGGATTAAGAGAAAGAATGAAGAAAATAAAATTCAACTGAGACATATTAAATTGACGATGTCTCGTATTCTTAAAATATTCACCCTTCTTCCATTCTCTTTGTTTATATATATATATATATATATATATATATGCATCGCTTTTCCTTTTTCCTTCTTTTCCCGTTCTCATGTATTTTCTTGGTTAAGGGAGGCGCAATGAAGGCGCGGTTGTTGCTTCGATTTTGCGAACGTATGCTTCACTGCATTTTGCGATTTAATCCGTCTAGGAAGGTAAAGAAAAGAAAAAAAAAAAAGACGGAAGGAAGAAAGAAAGAGATAAAGAATGCAAGGGGTTGCGTCTGGTGAAGAGGATAAAATGGTGGAACGATCGCACGGCGTGCCACAAAGAAGAAAATTCGATATAATAACTCGACAATGTGTAGCGATGGTTGCGTTAGTAGTAGTAGCAGTAGTAGTAGTAATAATAGTAGTAGTAGTAATAGTAGTATTAGTAGTATTAGTAATAGTAGTAGTAGTAGCGATAGTAGTGGTGATGGTGGGCGCGTTCTTGGCATCCTTCTTTATCGCGAGACAAATTCTTCTCTATAAGGGAGGAAAAAGAAAGTAAGCGTCGAGTCGGCCAGCTCCTGTCTATAAATTAGATACCGACGTTGCGGGCGGTACCCTTTTATCGCGATTAAATCGATACCGCGTTAAGTATCGTCGTAGATTACGTTTCTGTCTCTTTCGTTTCCTTTCTTTTCATTTTTTTCTCACGCGTTAAAACTTGCCTCGTGTAAATCTCTTCAACTTTCTTCACGTACTAAAGCTATTATCATTATATTAACGTCATTGTATACTTTTCATTATATTTATTATTATAATTTGGATGTTTTCGAAGATTTACCGATAATTAATACTCTTTATCATCTTTATCATTTATATTTTTTCTTTTTTTTATTTAGATTAATGAATGAATGAATTATTCATTTTTATCATACCGATCAGTCAATGGCGTTATCACGAGACGTCCCGAATTTCCAAGATACTCGTATCCGTATATAAAATGAGTATTCGTTTGGCGTACAATGCAATTGTCGATGTCTTTTTCCCAGTAGAATCTTAGTTGAGATAACCACTCGAAGGCGGCGACGTCCTTGCAATCTGAAAGAGAATGGAAAGCTTTTTGAGCGCTTTCGTTCGCTTACACGTTTACCTAAGTTACGAGACGTAAACGATGCTCTTTTAAGGCTGATGCTGTATACAAAGTGTTTCACTCTACGTGTGACGAAAACTTGAAATCTTTTTTTTCTTTTTTCTTGTAGTTGATGTATCCTTTTTCTTTCTTTCTTTCTTTCTTTTTCTTTTTATTTTCTTTTTCTTCTTTTTTTTTTCAACTTTATCGTATAAAAAAGCTTTTCATGGTATGTAAACAAACAAGAGGTTGGAAAATTGGGGAGGGGGGTAACTTCGTTTTTGTAAATGGAAGGGTAAATTTTCTTATGGTCATATAACCATCCCTAAATTAATCAAGTTTTTTTTTTTTGACATATTCTTCAAAATTGTACACGTTTTAATAATAATTAGAACGGTTTGCAACTCGCGCGATGAAACGTTGTTTTCAAATAATAAATATTTATTTCAAGCAACGTAAAACACATGTGAATTTTTGAAATATATATCAAAATTTGTTTAATTTAGTTAGGACCAAATGATAATAATAACACGTTACATTTGAAATGTTGAAATTAACTCGTTTTCAATTTTGTTTGTTTACGTCAAAGTTTAATAAAAAGACATTTCAATATTATGAATGAGTTAGAAAAAATTAAACTATAAAACTTTGTTGTATGTATCAAACGTATGTTGAAACATCCTGTATAAAACTTCGAATAGAACAAATACAATCGAGTATATTTTTACCTTTCACACGAAATATGATAAATTCTAAATATATAATAAAAAGAAAACTCACTGTTTTTGTACATTCTTTCTATAACGTCTCTCGCATGGATTTCGATTACAACGATGGCCTTGAATTTAAGACGATCTAAATTACTCAGATCACTTCTTATTGCCTCCGAGTATTTGGCCAATGCCTGATTTTGTTTCTTTTTTGATCGTCTCAATGGTTTCTTCGAGTCCACCAATCTATTCAATTTAAAAGAAATAATTATGAATATTAGAAATATATTGATGAAATTTTTTAACACACGAAAAAATCCATTTTTGTAAGGAATTTAGAACGAGCAGAGTTGAGAATCGATTGCAAGAGGTAGTACCTAACATTTATCGTACGTTCTTCTCGCAATTGAGGAAGGGAGTATGAAAAAAGATGGTAGAAAAAGAAAGAAAAGTTTTATTTCTTTCTCTCTCTCTCTCTCTCTCTCTTTCTCTCTTTTTCTTTTCCTCTCTCACTTTTTCAAAGTTCAACATCGTCGAGACGATATTCGCCGGCTCTACGCATTTTTCCTTTCCGTCTCACCAACCATCCGCGTTTCTCAACGATCTCCAGTTCCTCTTTTTCTCTTCACCAAGCTCTTTCTCTACCTTTCTCTCTACTCTCATGACGAGACGCTTCGAGCAACGACCGGGTACACAGAGCTTCGCGTTACATGAACGTTTACAGCCAAGGTCCCGGGACATAGGGATTTTACTCTAGGCGAAGAGATCGAGAGAGAGAGAGAGAGAGAGAGAGAGAGAAAGATCGAGAGAGAGAGAGAGAGAGAGAGGGAAAGAAAGAGAGAGAGAGAGAGAGAGAGAGAGAGAGAGAAAGAAAGAGAGAGAGAGAAGATACGGCCGGTAGTGTTGGTGTGGGTTAAATTATTCGCAGTACGGCTAGTATATGCAAACGAGAAGAGGAAGGGTGGCATGGCTGGATCGCAGGACGAGAGGTAGAATATGCAAAATTCCTCTTATTAGAGTTACCGTGTCCCTCTCCTCGTTTACCCTCTGCCTTTCCCGTTTTCGGTCCCTCTCTTCCCTTTATCCTCCCATTTTACTTTCCTATCTCCATCTCTCTTTCTCTTTTGTATCCGCTTTTCCAAGTCTACCTTTTCACCCAAATCGAACCTCGAAAACGAGCTTGGAAAGGCAAAGATGCAAACTTCCGATTTCTGTGGATAACTCGTGTTGCAGTTTTCCCAATTGAGAAACGTACGTACCATATGTATGTATATATCTATCTATACTTGTGTAGAGAGAGAAAGAGAGAGAGAGAGAGAGAGAGAGAGAGAGAGAAAGAGAGAAAGAGAAAGAAGAGAGATACATAGGCAACGCTCACTTGCAGTGCATGAGTGTCCTGGTGCAGTCGGTCGTCCATTGGATTTGAGTGGACGTAATTCCTGGCTGGCTCGGCCACTCTTTCACCCACCTGTCGCGTTTTGCGAGCATTTTTCGCAGCGCCTCTCTGCAACGCTTCAACAACTCGTGCAAACTCTCTCTCATCGCTTCCTCTACAATTTCGAACGGATCCGTATTGATTTTTGGTTTTATTTTTTATCAATCAGTAGAAAGATCGTAGAAAAAACTGGGGAAAAAAATATCCAAGTAAAGAAATGAAATAGTTTACACGGCTATTCACCTATATTACATAGCCAGTTTTCGACATGACCTTCTAAGACAACTGGATTAAGGAATTGAACGTATTCACCGTCATTGGAATTCATGGCAGTGGCTAATAGTTTACCTGTTAATGACTAAAAGAGAAAGATCATAGATACTATAGAATAAAATATAAGATAAATAATTGTTCATTAATATACCTTGAACAGTGTTAAAAATTTTATATTTTCGAATAGCTTCTTGATATGAGGCTGTATAAGTTCCGGTTTCCTTGAGTTTGCAAGTATCTCAAGTAAATCATCGTTCGAAATGAAGTAGAATCTTGGAAATATGTATCGTTTAGTCTCGAGATATTGTTCTAGAGCACGTTGCAGTATCTCCAAGTTCTCATTGAGTTTATTCAGAACTTCGAGCAAGCCGGCTGGCGGGAACGAGAGGATGTTCAGTAGAGTAAGAGAAAAAATGCAAATGCTGTCGCTCTAGTAGATTTACATTATTTTGCAGGCACGCGGACGCCTCGTTGCACGACATTCTCTTCCCTTTGTCTCTATCTTTTTCTCTCTTTTTCTCTTTCTCTCTCTTTTTCTTTCTTTCTTTCTTTCTTTCTTTCTCTCGCAAACAACCGAGATAGATATTTTTCTATCCTATCCTGTTCGCGTAACCGTAACTCGTAATTTGAATAATTTACGCGCGCTTAAATGATCCCTATCTCCGTAGTAAATTTGTGAAAGTCTCACGTTTGAGAGAGGCGTAGTATACCGGAGCCGATAAAAACGTAATTTCTCGAGCCTTTACTTCGTGGTTACGGTAAAAAGGAGTAAAGAAAAGTCGAGGTTAGTTCTTTTTCTCTTCTTGAAAGTCCACGAACGATGTTAACTTTTGGGCGTAGTTGATAAAACTTTTCGATCTCAAGATATACGTACGCGGAACGTGAGTGGCCGGTAAAGCCAATCTGTGGCCCGCCATGCGGGACGTGATTTGCACCCAGGATAGTGTCAACTTGTCGTAGTCGTGGCTTTCTTTTGGAAGTTGTTTTCTAATGTCTTCGCTCGAGAATATATTGTCCATATAGAAATAGCTTCTTTGAACGCTGAGCACCATCTCGAGAACCTCCCCCACAGTAGAGAGAGCCCGTTCCCAATAGTCGACTTCCGCTGCGAATGGCTCGACAAATCTACGAACGAAGAATAAATAAAGTTTCAATGTGACCGAAAAGATTTCTTTCTTTCTCTCTTTCTCTCTCTTTCTCTATTGTTTTAGACTTTACAAATGGATACCTTGTCGATTTCATCGAAGACAAAAGAACTTGATGATCCTCCAGCGCTTCTACTATATCGTCTATACTTTCCAATTTATAGATACCTTTAGTCTTGTACGGTGTCATCTCTATTGTCATTACTTTCCAAACAGCGCTGATACGCTGCAATCCCTGAAAGATATAAATGCATATTCTATATGTATTCTCTAAATTTCTAAAGTCAAAGACTTACCAATTCTATTTCAAGTTCCATCGTTGCACTGTTCGAGATTTCGGCGATCTGTTCAGAGAAATTTTGCATCTGCATGTCGGCAATGGCGTCGAGAGTAAAATCTTCGGACGTCTCGTCGAATTCTCTTGATAAGATGTCCTTAACTTGTCTCCAATGACGTGATCTCATAGCGTGATTCTTTAAGTCGGTTATCAGTGGCAATGTACGACGAAATTTATCGACTCTAGATCTGTTAAATGTAATATAAATAGAAAGATAGAGAAAAAGAAAGATTGAGATAAATCTTGTTAAAAGTATACTCGATGTTAGTTTGTGCTCAGTTTGAAATTTGTTGCCAGTCATTCCTACGTTCATTTTAATTCAGACATTCGTGATCATACGTGATTGTAATTTCGACGATGAATGAAATGCTCCGTTCTATGTGCAAAAATTATGGACAATAAGCGTCAATTATGTGTTTCCCCTTTGCTTTTCATCTACTTTTCAGAATGAAGTATGCTATGTTTGTTTCGTCCTTCTATTTTCTCATCTGTACGTGATGTACAGAGTATTTGGCTATCAAAATGTCGCGGACTTTTTCGTTTATTAAATTTACGCTCAAAATTGTTTATTAAAAATGATCGGTCAAAAAGGAGAGAGAGAGAGAGAGAAAAAAAATAATAATTTTCTACATGTCACAATTGATATTCAACAAGAATAAAAATATTTTCGTAAATTTTTAAAAACGACGATAGAACGTCGTCAATTTTTTGAAGTGAACTTCCATTATACTAAATCACAGTTTTCTTCTTGGTCCATGACCCGTGTTAGCATAAGCTAGTGAACAAGTTCACGATAGTAGCAAGAGAAGAAGAAGAGTTAAGTAGGAACTAGCAAGAGATCCTCGACGTACCTCGTGTGCTCAACGATCTCCCAGTTTCTCTCCTTAAGCTCTCTGCAGAGTCTTGTGAGTTTTCGAAATAGGGCGTTCGCAACTGTGTCCATCTCTTCTATTTCTATCTTCCAAAATTGCTCGTTCTTGTAACGATTCCATGCTTCGTTCCACTCGGCGGTCAGTTTCCAAACAATCTCGATAATCGCTAAGTTCTACGAAAAAAGTTGAAGAATCGAGATAACGATGCACGATGGTTATTAAATTGATCGCGTCCAACATACTTCCTCGAGTTCTACCAATTCCAGAGAATCTGGTTGACTCAAGCCAAAAATTTTGAGATGTTCTTGAAGCATTTTTTCACGTTCCTTCAATACGTGTATTTCCTTATAGAAGACATTAATCCACGTGAACGCATCTGTACGAAATCAAAATGTTCACGTAAGTCTAAAGAAAAGCTCAATAATACAATAACAATAAAAACAATAGCTTCGTTTACCATCTGTTTGCCAGTCTGACGTAAACGGTCCAGTATCATAATATTTACGGATCAACAACTGCGTATTTTCGTTAAACATAGACAAATCCACGAATAAATTGTTTCTGAATTCCTCCTGTAATGGATTCGTACATTGAGTCAAGAAGATTCTCTTTTATTTAAACTTTATTTTTTCTTTTTTTTTTTTTTTTTTTTTTTTCTTTATTTTAGCACTTTCTAGTCTTACGATGAAGAAAGGCAAGAGCGGAATTTTATTTCGAAAATGGCCGCAAGCAACGTTCCCGAACGAATCACGTACCTTCTTTTCGGATAAAATAACTTCGTAGGAAACAAGTAGCTCCAAGTAGGCAGACCACGATCGGTCGATGTCTTTTACTTTTCTTTTAAATTCAAACGTTGTCGGTACCTCGTATTTTTCTACAATAAGAATTATGCATTCTTCGTTGTTATTAGTTTTTCAAATAAAATGAGACGGCTTTAGAAATAGAAATTATTTCAAATATATTTCATTTAAAAGTATGTGAAATTACGATGAAATTCTTTTCGAGAGAGGCTAAGCTTATCGATCCTTTACTTTCTATGCGAGGGCACATTTAAAGATTTACCCAACATTTCGTAGAACTCCATGATCTTAGGGAATTCTGCCTCCTCCTTCGGAATCTCGGCGTTAAGTCTCTCGAACAACTGCATCGCGAATTGCATACTGATCAGATCCGTTATTTCCTTCGTTATTCTGCGAACGGTTGAATTTATATGCGAGTGTTCTCGGATTAAAAGGAAAAGAAAAAAAGAAAAAAAAAAGAAAAGAAAAAGAAAACAGAAAAAAGAAAAAAAAAAGAGAGAAAAAGAATAAATTCGAACGATCGGATAAGTCAAACTGCTTGCTTGACGTGTGGTTGGGATCGTAAAAATTTTATGTTTATGAACCGCGGAAAATCCATAAAATATGGAATATTTACAACGTGCGTTATCGATCTAGCCACTAGACTACATTTAATATTTTCATTTGAATATTTTTAATGTATTTTATCTCGTTAATTTATTCTAAACAAAATTGCTAACTTTTTTGTATTTTCAGCGATATATTGATAGATGTGATTGATTTTGTTCTCGGTTACTCGTAACATAAGAGAACTTAGTTTGTGTTGCCAGGTCAAGCATTCCTGTATGATGAAGCTTTTTAAACTATCGCAATTTACATCGAGAAAATGTATGGTCATTACGGTCTCTTGAAGTTCAACATTGAATCCAATATTCGCGTAATTGTTAATATCAGAATCGAAAGATGTAGCCGTTGGTTTCAATTTTTCATATCTGTATAAAAAATAAAAGTCAAAATACATGCATTATCTTTTACAAAGAATAGAGAATATTACGATCATATGTTTGATCGAGATAAGAAATATAATTACCTATGAATGAAAATATCCTTATTGACTTCCCAGACGTCCTTGAAAGATTCCCACGTTTTAAGGTACGTTTTTATTTGGGAAAAACAATGATTCATCTCTGTTAATTCGTAATTTTTATTATAAAGACATAAGATTCAGAAAAATATAAAGAGAAATAAAACAATCAAAAGACCATTGTTAAGCAATTGTTGATAATGATTAAGTTCTTGGTCCTTCTCGTAATTAGTCCAATAAAATTTTAAATCTTTAATGGGAACATTGAATTTTACGGTTAATCGTTGGATGTCTTTAATCGGTGTTAATAGGTGGTTGAAAATGTTCGATAAGGTTGTGGCGATATCCGACAGGTTTGGTGTGAAGTGTATCTGAACACGGATACATGAACATGTTAGCTTTCAAACGTTCTTGGTCGAAGATCGCTTCTCTTCCCTCCGGTATCGTGATTCACTTGAATCACCGAGGTGGTAAGCCGGAGGGTGAGTAGCGCTGGACGTTCGAACAATGTGCACGAAGGGACACAATTATAGTTCTCTCTCTCTCTCTCTCTCTCTCTCTCTCTCTCTTTCTGTGTGGATACCTTATTGTTGAGCAACTCCAGTTGCACCAGTAGAAGAGGAGATGGTCCTGCCGTCCCGTTTCCGTGAAGGGCCTTATACATGACATTCATAGAATTTATAAGGCATAATCTCAGTGTTTTCTGAATTACTATATCGAATTGGGTCAAATATTGTTGCCACTCCTTTAATATCTAAAATTGGAAATATTCTAAATCAATGAATCATACAAATTTATAATACTTATACGCATTCTCATTCCACAGGATATATATAATATCGTAAGCTCAACTCGGATAGTCCATATTTAAAGAAGAGCGTATAAAATTGATGAGCGTGGTTGGATGAGCGAGAGGCTTTATGTATATATATACATATATATGTATATATATATATATACATATATATGTATATATATATATATATATATATATATATATATATATATATATATATAAGTGAAATCTATGGCTTGGATTCGAGTTATATGAAAGAGGATAATTCATTTTGGTCGTTGTAATCTGGAAAACGGATTTATTCGATGGATTCGGTTGGAGAACGGGGAGAGAGAAAAATTAATACACCCTTTGGCTGGCATTAAAGGGGAACTATAGATTCGATTTAAAAGGATTATTCTCAATTTTTTTTTTCTCAACGATACATCAAATAAAAGATACATTGACATGTGTCCTTTGTTTATAGCGATAAAAATATAACATAACTTTTCGAATTAATCGAGCTTTTACCGTGAGTGCGAAAGTAATTAGATCATTAAAGGATAGATTTGTAATGCGACTTGAAAATATTAAAATATCTATGTTTCTTCTGTCTTTCTTAACTTTATTTATACGTGAAAATTGTCTAAGAAATAATAACGATATCTTATCCATCCAAAGAAATATTTTAAGAGTAATTATAGTCACTGGAAGTTATTTCTGTATAAAATAATTTCAGTGATCGTTTGCTATGCAATGAAGATGAGTATAGTGTAACAAAAACACACACATACACACACACACATATATATATATATGTATGATACGTAACGTAAAAATAACTCGAAAGTTTAATCTCCGGAGTAAACGCATCAAGCGTCTACGCGAGAGGATCGTATTACGACTACATCGTCGATTTCAACGTTTCTCTTTACGGATCTTCGTCCTTCGTGCTTCTCGTCTCTCCTTTCGTCGAGACGACAATAAAAGTCCCCGTAAGTAGTCGAGAGGTAATCCTCGGAAAGTCCCGCGAGTGCATAAAATCATAAGAAGCGAATTTCAGATCTTTAAGCACTATTACGGTGTCTTAGCGAGCTTTACGAGCGCATAAATTTATAAAGTATCTTCTCGAAATTCTTCGAGGATGTATATGTTCTTTCGTTTTCTTGATACTTAAAGTCTCTTTAAACGACGACGATTTTATCGATTCTTTAACGTACGTTCTACGTGGTATTTCTAATTTAACATATTACAAATACATTATGTTGTTTGTACCATTTGAATATCATGTAATTGTATCGTACTATTATCGTAATTGTATTATGTTAATCCCAAGGAAAATGAAAAATAAATGAATAGATGTCATATATCTATAAAATATCGATTATCTATGACTTACGTCATGGATTACTCCTTTAAATCCGTTGAAGACCACCATGATGTATTGAACTATCATGTTGTACTTTGTAAGTATATTGGCAGTAACCGCATCCCTGAAAAGTTTTAGGGAGTTTCAAAGTTCCATAGTTTCATGCTTCAAAATTGTATGGCTCACCTCACGTTTACAAGTTCCTCCTGCAATTCTGACAAGGTGTACGCATAATTCGGTTTTAACTTGATCATCGACAATTCGCAAATATTCTCGCATATCTTTACTATCTCATTATTAGCTTTCTTATAAACATTAATGAAATCAAGGAGCTGAAAATTTTATTTTTATTTATTTTTATTTTTCTTTTTGTTCTTTTTTTTTTTTCTTTTTTTTTCCTTCTTTTTTTTTTTTTTTTTTTTTTTTTCTTCTTTTTCATTTTTCTATCTTTCTCGAAGACAGTAAATTTTCATAATCGGATAATCCTTTCGAATAATCACGTTCTTTAGATATAGATAGAGATTATTTAGAGATAGGGAGATAACACGTTTACTTATGAATGGATGATATGATAAATAAAGCTAGAATATCGAGCGTACTTCTTCGTTATTATACATAGAAAATGAAATTAAACCACACAATTGGGATGAACTTGTACATAAAGTAGCATAAATGGAATCGTTAAAGCTTACATTTCTTGCTTGATCGTAGCAATCTTCAATGTAATTTTCGATGTTCTCCGTGTTCCACGTTAGTCTATTTAAGCCAGGATTGATCTGTCCGTCGACCCTCCGGATTAATTCTCGAAACAGTTCACGTTCTCTGTCGGACAATGCTGAAAAATGAAAATGTCGTTTATCATTTCGTACGTGGGATTCCTCGTGAGTAAAAGATATTACATTTAAAAAATCTTTAGTTTTTTTTATCTTCATCCAAAATTTTTTTCTTTAATTATAATTTTCGATTGATCAAAACGAATCATCGTTTGCAGGGATACTTACACTTTCTAGTATAGATTCCATTAAGACAGATTTCAAATATAATTAATCCAATAGCTTGGGAGAAAGATTTAATTTATCACGAAAATGTAATTATTCTTTAAGCAATAAAATAATAGAAAAAAGAAAAATAATAAAGATTTTTGTTTTGTTTCAAATGATAAAAAAAAAAAAATAAATAAATCATTCGTAAAAAAATATTATAACTCACGATTTTTCTTTTTTACGATTAATTAATTTATCCAATGTTACTTTATCTTCGTTCTATTTATCATTTTATTTTTAATCGAAATCAATTTTATATATCTGTATTAATCAATTGAAAATTTTCAAATACGATTGATAGATTAACAAATGATCGTAAATTAAAGAGGGAACAATTAAGAACGATCAACCAACCTTGTATTATTTTGTTGTAAGTATGGATCACTGCAAGGATACCTTCGTAAGTAAAAAAGATTATGTCCTTTTTAACATGTATAACAGTCATTTGGATTGGTATATGAAATCGAAGATTTATCCAACTATCGCATTCTCGGCAAAGATTTAATATAAAAGAATCCATATTACAGTCGAGTAACAGGGGAAATTGTGCGTGGTGTTTCATTAAGTATCGATCGAGATGAGTGCGTGGATTTTCACCAGATTCTTCGATCCACTCGTTATAAAGATTCTTTATTAAGTCTTCGATTGACTTTATAAGGATTTCGCACTGATTGAAGATCTCAAATTTCATGGAACAATATGGCATCCATTCAGCATCTTCCATCATTTTTTTCGTTCTTTTCAAATTATATGCTTTTTGTTCCAGGGCCAATGCTTTGCCGGAGTAATGCGGCATCATCGATGAATATTTTTGTTTATAATTTAAGATATCTTGCTTTGTAAATTGAATATCATTGTCGAACATTTTCCATACCTGATGGAATTGTTATGGTTTTTATCAAAATGTATCTATAGAATATAGACTATTAAGATGCGTGTGCATTGTGCAATAAAGATAGATACATTGTAGAAAGTTATAACTTAGATGAGTTAAAAGTAATATGAATTTGTGTTATCAATTTCTATAATTTTAAATATATCTTATATAATTTCTTTTTCTTTTTTTCATATTTATTCCTTATGTTGACCATTTAGGTCATTAATAAATTTTGAATATATTTATATGTTACATATTACATTTTCGAATTGTTTTATAGCTACGTTTATTAGTTTTCGAAATTCCAATTGCAATGTTTAACTTTGAAAATCTTGTTTCTAAGTTCGAGTTCGCTCTCGAAACTCGCTTACCTCCATAGTCTTATTATTGAAGAGCTCCTGTAGTTCCTCTCTGTTCATATAATTGTAAAATCCATGGAGATTCTCGATACCCTCTTGCACGTTGTTCATGTCGACGAAGACGGTTGCTATCAAGTTCTCGATTATTATCTCCAATTCTCTGACTTCGTTGCGAAAGACAGACATAATGTTCTGCCAGGCGACGTGCAGCACATCGAATATTTTATGAGAGTTTACTTCGATTTTCTGTAAACTCTCGAGAAAGAGTCTTTCGATCTTTTGACAGGCTCTACTGTGTTCTTCTCCCTTGGTTCCAACAAACTTTGGTCTTAGAATGTTAGTTGTTTCGTCCATTCTATAAAATAATAAAAAATACATTCTTCTCTTTGATTTACCGTAAGTCGTAGAAATTGATATTCGAATAATTCTTAAATTAAAATAAAAAATTGTTTTTTTTTTCTTTTTTTTTTTTTTTTTCTTTATATCTGAATAGATTTAAAGAAATGAAGAATTAAAGAAAAATAGAAATGCAAATGTATCTATTAAAAATTCAGATATATAGTTTTAAAAAAATGTTCGAATATTCCATATTTTTTTTTTCTTTTTTTTTTTTTTTCTTTTTTCTTTTTAATCAACGTTATCCGACACCTGGCAAAGTCTATCATCGCATTACAGATGACTATCATGTCTTGGCATCTTTCGATAAAAATGTTTATATGATAAAAAATGTTATCGATGTCTAATTCCCATGGATATTTGGTGTACATATTATGGGCATTTGAAATCTGTAAAATAATAATATAATTATATCATCGTGGTAATAAAATTTGAAAGAGATTATAACTACAATCAGATTTTATTTTCGTTTTCGCTCGACTAGCAACATAAAGTTCAACTTATTTATTTCCTCAGTAGTTTCTCACGTTTTATTATAATCACGGCGTAGATACCGTCATAGGTTTGTCACCATAAAACTTAGTTTTATAGTCGTCTACCTATATATTTTCTTGAGGAAACTCGAAAAAGAGCGACGTATTACTCGCGCAGAAGAATTTCACTCGTTATCGCGTTATGCGAAAAGGGAAAGCCTAACTCAGCGTTATTGCACCTTTTCGGTTAACGCGAAAACTTATACCTACATTGTCTAAACTACTTCTACCTTCCTAAAGAAAAGTTAAACGAGAATACAGAAGAAGGAGTCCTCACTTTTCACAGCTTCTTAAGATTAACTTATATACTCTTTTAAAGTTGCACGAATATTTCCAATCTTTCCGATAGCATAGCGATTTTAAAAAGATATTAATATCTTTCGTTTCATCAAATGATATTTCGAATTCGACTGAGGCAAGTATATACATACATGCATCTATGGAAACAGAATGCATTCAAATATGTTATATGATCGAAAAGCAATTAATCCATTTTAGTAAAATAAATGTAAAAGATATAAGAAATATAAAATATATTTTTTACGTGTGGATCGTTGTTTTTGAAAAAAGAGAAAAATAATTTTATAAATCTCTTTTTGGTACACGAATCCATTTATTTAATTATACAATCCCATTTAACGTATTTTTTTTCTACGATATCATTTTTCATTCTTCAACAACAATTTCCATGATATGAGACGCAATAAGCTTTTAATGCATTTACCTATCCGTGATTTTACTGAATTATATGACATACAATAAGCTTTGAATGTATTTGTTCGTGACGCGTATATAGCATAATTTTAAATGTACAATTAAATGTACAAAGATTTTTATTAATTTCAGTGTAAATTTTGCCTTTAAGAATCAACTTTTCGATTGTCGCAATGATTACGAATAAGTTCCTATTTTTTTATATCATTATTCATTGCTACTCATATCAGTTTTATGCATTAAATATACGGGATCATAAAGATATTTGGACATCTTCTGATATTAAATAGTTTTTTCGACATTGGTCAATGAGTAACAACGAAAAGTCATTTTTTTTTTTTATTTTTTTAATTCTTCCCGGACTTCATATAGCATATTAATTTCTTCGCATCTACTAAAAAATTCAAAGTACTTTGTCCAATATAAAAGAAATTATTCCACTCAAAAAAGTGTCCGCATATTTTTGTGATCCACTGTAATTGCCAAAGGATCATATTTCTGTATTCAGAGAAAGAAAAATGAGGATTCCGTGATTTATTACAATCCAGTTTTATAACGAATGTAAATTTTGTACGAAGCTTTTGTAAAATGCAATTCAGTTGTCTTTTTTTCAAAAATTTTCATGTTTTAAAGATTACCGATACTCGTAAGAATAAATAAAATCAAAAAATATAGTAATATACTTTACGTAAAATCTTGATATTATTCAAATACACGGATATGATTTTTCGTAATAAAATAAAAATTTGTTCGTATGTATTTACTTGAATATAAAGTTTCTTGTACTCTTCGCAAACACGAATACAATCGGAGAACATTTGGATGCTGGCACGAGTTTTCCCTTTGAATATTTGCCGAAGGTCGATTAAGTTCCGACAGATTATAATGATATCGTTGCTCAATGTAGTGAACAGATTAGTCATTTTCTCGGTGGTATTGTAGTAAGGCGAATTTAACCAGATAGTTCTACAGAGATGTATAATTTTCGGTAGAATCGGAATTAATCCTTCTGGTGTTGTGCATTGCTTTAATTTCCTGCAAGGTTCCTTCAGAAGTGATAAATACTCAATGTTCGATCTAGCTTTAATGATACCCAATTCTATGTCTTCTCGTAATATGAGAAATTGATCCACATAAGTTGATTGGTTTAACATTAATATATTTATGATACGTTCAACCATATGTTTGTGAACTTGATAATTTAATCCATAGAGATTATCGTCTAGGAACAGAGTAAAGAAACAGCCATATTAGATTATGATAATCAACTAATACGAAACTATCGATTTCATCATCCTGACAGCCGAACGAATACAATTTATGGTATTTCTATGGTTTACTTTTTAATACGAAATTTTATCAACTATAGAATAACGGTTAGGATTAGAGATTTTCCTTTATAATAGAAAAAAAAGAAAAGAAAAAAAAATCAAAAATAAAATTTCATATCGATCGTTAAAAAGATTAATCGAGATAAGTAGCAAGGATTTATCAAATTATTACTCACATCTATAGATCCAGAAATCGTATTCGTCATCAAGGGAAAGAAGTTGTTGCAGATCTGTTTCTTCCTCATCGATGAGGGTTAGTTTGATTTGAGTGGTCCAATGACTCACCACATTCTCGAGCTGTTTAACTAAATCCTTATCGGTGCTGCCTTTCTCGGCAGTGAGCTCTTTACTCAAGACAGGTACATATATCACAGTTAAGCCCAGCATTTTGTACGTGAAATCAGTCAAGTTGAATAGAAAGGCATGCATGTTGGTGAAAAAGTCCATTTTCACGCATGTGTTTCGACGAGTCATCGGTTAAGGAAGACAAATAAAGTTTGAAAAGAGATTGACATAGGTTGACATATATCTAATTATCTCTATCGACATTTCTATGTATTATGAAGGTCTTAATTCTAACAGAGATCCTTTTTTTATTACGAGAGAATCTTTTTTACGGATAAAAATATACAATATCAATAGCCATCGCTCGATGTATTTTTTTTTACAAAACGAACGTACCATATTTTTCAATGCCTGGAAAAAAAAAAATCGAAGAGAAGTGATATCACCAAAACATGTTCTTTGAAAATTCCTCTTTGATCGTAGTAGTACCGTCGACTATTTTATCTAAACGAAAATTCTGAATCAATATCAATTAAAAAAAAACAAAAAAAACAAAAAAAAAAAAAGAAAAAAAAGAAAAGAAAAACGAGAAAGAAGAAAACTTGTATAAACCAAGAAAAGTCTTTTACCGAGAGAAATATAGAAATAGAATAAAAGGGACAGCATAAACTGTACGAATTCAATCAAATTCTCTACTTCAGAATCCATTAGAAATAACGAATTGCATTTCGTCCAAATGCAACGCAATCGTTTCGAACTCAGCGACTGTAGTAATTTCGTTCACGTACGTGAGCAAACATCGACGTTGAATTTACCGGCGCCGAGTTGGGCAGTGCATTTAGCCGAAAATTATGGTAATAATAACTTCGCTTGGTACGCTCTTTCTCTGTCCCAGTGTGTCGTCTCTTTCCTCCCGTAGTCCCCACCGAGCGCAACATCGAACTGCTTCCACTGTAAGCTTCTGCGCAGGAACATTGGACTCCAACACGTGGGGAGTTCTCGGCAGAGCTCATGAGGTTCCGAAAACTTTGCTCGCGCGTTTTAGTAACGGGATTGCGAGTGAAGTTACAAATTCACTTGGTAATGTCATCACGTCAGATTGTTATGACCTTAAGCCGAAGCGAGTGCGGTCCGCGTATCCATGTGATCGCCCTTGGCATCGGTGCGACGCTAATCTAGAGAAACTACTGCAACTACTTCCATCCGCCCGCGCTTGCTCACCCGCGCTGTTTGCGACTGACCGAAACTGCCTGGAAGTTAACGATTAGGACCTTACCTCTCTTTTATTATTCCTTCCTTTTCCATATTATTTTCCTTATTTCCTTTCTTTTTATTATTTCCAGATAGTATATCTGTTTAGTTAGTTAAACCGACTTTCTTACGATTAAAAATATTTTTCGTTTTATACGAACGTTAAACCATACGAGAAGAATGGCTGCTAAACTACCGGAAGGACATTTACATGGTAGAAGTTAAATTTGATTCTTCCTCAGATGAAGGTATTCTTGCTTATCGGAAGAATCGGCGTTCTGGGTTCGAGCATTTAATTAAACTTTCACGTGGCACGTGTCGTTCGTTGAAGGATCGTAAAACTTTCTATGCTGAATTTCTTTCTCTTTCGTTTTCCCCCCACTCCTCTCTCTCTCTCTCTCTCTCTCTCCGTTTGTATATCGAAGCTTAGCGATTCATTCGTTTTGCCTCAACATTTCAAAGATATTTCGAAGTGCGAGTTATTCGCCGACGAAATCTCCGGAAAATTAATTCAAAAGGAAAAATAAATAAACAAGTAGATAAAATAAAAGTAAAAGGATACTTTCGGGCCAGGTCTCGATTTTGGAAAAGATCGGTGATAGAACATTTTGAACAATGTTGAGAATATAATGTTCGACGTTCCAGTTGAATGAACCAAACGCAATGGTGTCATGGAAGTTGTCCAAGCGAAATATCTCGTTAGGTTTTCGGACGAAGTAGCAGAGCTCGTATACCGGTGTCAACGGAAAAGACAGCAAGGCTGTTGGTATATTGCTCCTAGCTTCGTAGTATATGCAGAGCACGCGGTGCTTTGGGTTTTCAAAGAACTCTTGAATAATCAGATGACACTGATACGTCCAATCCTTCTTCGACAATCCACTCAGTGTCGTCATACCTTTTACACGGTGTACCTTAGCCAACGATGAAAATCTGAATAGAGTGAGGATAATTCGTATTCGAGAAGCGTAGACTATTTAAGATTCTTCGAGGATTAAGAACTTTTCTCTCGAAAAACTGCGAGCTCATTCTCCTTCCCTCCCTCCCTCCTTCCCTCCCTCTCTTTCTTTCTCTCTCTCTCTCTCTCTCTCTCTCTCTTTCTCTCTCGTTCATTCTGAACGTTAAAAGAAAACCGTGAGAGAGAGGAAGAGATAGATAGATAGATTGAAAAGGCAGAATGAACGAACGTGTTTAATGGAAACGCAATTAAAATGATATTGAAGGATCGTTAAGATCGGCCACTTTCGAATAAGAAATTCGAGAAAAGTTTTTAACTGTCTCTTTACGAACGATCTCGCCTCTAACGATTTTATTCGACGCAAACTATTCGCCGACGTTTGAGATTTTTCGATATTCTCAGTCGTTTGTAACGTAGAGACACATCTCCTTCGCTCTCTTTCTCTATTTCTCTCAATCTTTCTCAGTTCTTTCTCAAAGTAGTGTAAGGCACTCACCAATTCATTCAATTCTTCACTCGTATAGTCCGCTCTTAATTCTGCCTCGACCTCCTTTTCTTCGTCTCCTTCTGCAATTAATTTAACTTTCAATTCATCTAGATCCTAAATCACGAGAAACGGAGGTCATAAAATCGTCGGGAAGTTTAATTGAGAAATTTAAAGATTCTGCTCTGTGTTCGCTCGCTCGCTCGCTTACTCGCAAAGATGCGAGGTTTCTTTGTATGGGACGAAAAAAAACGAAGGTCTAAAGGTTTCGTAAATAAAAAGGACAGTTTGAACTGAGAAAGGAAACAAATTCTACGAACGCACGGATCGTTCGTTAGTCGTCGATTGGAAAGGCGTCTGCTGCGATGGGTCCTCCTAAATCGAAGAGGAGAGTTAAATCGAAGGCATTCGTTCTAGGAATCTCTCTTCTCCGTACCGATATCATTTTCCCTCTCTCTCTCTCTCTCTCTCCCTCTCCCTTTCGCTTCGTCTTCTTTCTTCTTTTCTTTCACCTGACATCCCAGTCTCGTTTTCTCTTCCTCTCTCTCCCTCTCTCCCTCTCTCTCTCTCTCTCTCTCTCCCTCCCTCCCTCTCTTTTTCTTTCTTTCTTTCTTGCTTCCTTTTTAACCTATCACGATTTTACCCTTAGCCGATTTAATAGGAACGATAAATCGCGGAGAGCTACTAAATCGACGGAAAAGGAAACACGTCGGTCGACGGAGAATCGAGACGAGAGCACAAGGATACGTTGCCGTGATTTATCCTTTACTATGATAGAGAACACATTATGCGAATTCTCGCTATATCTGGTTTTATCTCTAAGAAGACTTATCAATGTCACTCATTGTGAAATAAAAAGAAAAGAAGAAAATAAATATTCTTTCTTTTCACTTGGATAGTTATTGAATTGGATACGGTGTTACCATGTACACGATTCTCTTCAAATTTTCTAATTATTTTTTCTAATAGTTTGAACTAAGAATAAAGATAATTTAAGGCAAATTAATTTTATTAAAAATTTTTTAATGGAAAGAGATATTTAATAATTTAAAATTATATAGTTACATGTATAGACGTTAAAAATATATCAAATAAATATTCGTGTTATTACGATACTCAGTATCAAAGATATACGATCTTTGAGAGATCAACGATCGATACTTTGATTCACGATCTATTTTCAATTCGTTAAACGTCGAGTCGAATTCTAAAAATTTATTTAAATCAGCGTTACCTTTATGCTACGAAAGTATCGAAAATACATCCGTTTATTTATTGACTTGTCGACTGCCGTGCCGAGTTTTGAAAATTTATTTAGGTCAATGATACTCTTATAATATATTAGATACGCATATCGTAAACACACGTGTTTATTATTGACTCAATGAGTAGAATTTTGAAAATGTATAGAGGTCAATGATACTTAAACGTGGCATCTGTTACATTTGTCTAACATCGACGTGTTGAGTCGAATTCCAAGAATTTATTTTAGGTCAGCAATATCCTTATTTGGCGTATATTGAAAAGGTACTTGTTTTTTTTCATCGTTTCAACAAATCGAATTTGTTCGAATTAAAGTAGGTCAGTATTCGTTACACGTGTAAAAAGTTGAAACTTTTCTCTTGTTTCGACGAGGCCCATTCGTTTACGTTTATATCTTAACGTTAAAGAAAATCGATAAGAGAAAAAAAAATAGTAGTATTTATGTTTTCTTTTTAAGAGATATAAAGCGTTGAGGATAAAATAGAAATAACCATTATAAAAGCTATAATATTAGATTTATACATTTAATGTTAGATTTTAATTGAATTGAAAAACAAAAAAGAGAAAAAAAAACAATTCTTGCCATCGGCTAAACTTTTATATCAAAATAATTCCTTTAAAGGTACTCTTTCGTTAAGTACTTTAACAAATCCGAAAATCTATCGGAAAAATGAATTCTCTCGAATATATCCGAGGTTGCTTCGAGAGACGTTTGCGTAGGAAAAACGGTTCGATAGAAATATGAAAAATTTTAGAATTTTTATTTTTATACTCTTTCTGATTTTCACCGACGAGAAACGTTGAATTTTTTAAAAGCAACGACAGATTCTCATTATATGCTAACAGAATATGTACGACATGTATAGTGTCATAGTAGTGAGGTAAACTTGAACGCGCCCTGATTACAGCGCGTAACGATCGGGCTCGATCATATGACATTTCCGCAAAATGTTGGAAAATTTAGCAGGCACTGGGCTTCTCGCATCTACCTTCGTGTTATGTGGTCGTGGTTAAACGCTCGTGCATCGGTTAACGTGTCTAGATAACTGATGTTGTGAGTTTGACTTGTAGCTGTCTGCAGATCGTTCCCAATTATTCCCTTTCCTCCCTTTAACCCCCTAACCCTTGTATCATAATAAAAATCCTTGA